ATCCCATCCCTTTAATGCCAACTGTCCAGTTGTGACATAGCAGCTGTTAGTAGGCACAGGCACCTCAGACAAGCTTTCAGAGCTTTGCAGTATGCAGCACCACTGTGTAGGGTTCTGTAAATCTGATAACTGACATTCCAAGAGTTTAAAGGGGGGGGGGGTTAAAATTTAAATCATTTCCTAAACAGAAGACAAGAGGATCTAACTTTAACAGTGACTGCATTAACAGTTTAAACCTGTCAAACATCACATGGAACATGTACATCTGCTCCAAGACACATGGCTGAGAAGCTGACAAACAAGATATTTAGCCTGTTTGGTTATATAACAAAGTCATTCTTTGCTATTGTTAACACAGAGAGTTGGGCAGAATCCTTTAAAAACATAGTGATAGCCGAATACTCAATACACTGTCCTAAATGTATTTATTAACATATTCTATTAAAATACATGAAAAAGTAACATATTCCGAGAACAATTAGAGTACATGCAGAACACACATTAATACGGTACAAACTCTACTGTTGTATTTTTTATTACATTTAATTTTAAATAGCTGATCACATTGATTTATCAGTCTACTTAGGCTTTAGCAGAGCTCAGTAACACTGAGATTAATAACTGATCACCACACTGATTTATCCGTCTACTCAGACTTTAGCAGAGCTCAGTAACACTGAGATTAATAACTGATCATCACATTGATTTATCAGTCTACTCAGGCTTTAGCAGAGCTAAGTACCACTGAGATTAATAACTGATCATCACATTGATTTATCAGTCTACTCAGACTTTAGCAGAGCTCAGTACCACTGAGATTAATAGTTGGATCACCACATTGATTTATCAGTCTACTCAGACTTTAGCCAGAAATTCAGTGTTTGTAAAGAAGCTGATTTTTGAGTTCTTCTGAAGAGTATGTTGTTTTACCTGCTGTGCACTGGTTAAAATAATAAACAAAGAGTGATGGTGTTTCTTTTACAAGATAATTTCTTAAATTTTTCTAAAATTATTCCCCTAAAAGTTTAAAAGGTACCGATATTCTGAAAACTGCCTTTACAAACTGTAACGTGGACTGAATACAGATACTTCATTTCTATATTGTAAGTATTCCCAATACTTGTATCCCATTACATCCCAACCTTGTTAACACATCTTCAAAATCACAGAACATCTTGCTAACATCTGTTATCCTTAAAATGCATATGATCATACATTTACCTAACTTTGAAATTAGGAACAATTTCTTTATTTCTACATAATCTATATTTTGACTACTTACCAACCTCGTAACTCAGAAGGCCAGTGACATTTGGGAGACAAATGTACACAGGACAAAACCTAGCAGCAGAAAATGCCATTATTAGTGTCATGCAAAAAAAACAAAACAAAAAAAAACAATAATCCTAGGGCTAGGCCGAGTTTCTTTACAGGAAAAGTGAATGACTTCCAAAAATGGCAGCTATTGTCCCATATCCTGTGTTAAACAGAACAGTTCCAGACCCAATTCGTCTTGCCATACATATCTTTTTCCTTGAATGTCACTGGATCCTCCGAATTATGAGGTTGTTAAAGAGTCAAAATGCACATGCAGAGCAACATACAAGCTAACATTGCTGTGCATTGAATTGTCATCAGACTGGCAACCTCACCAAAATCCCCCTTGCAAACCAGAAAGCTTTGTCCAGTGTGGCAGTTACACGGCTTTGGCAGTGTGTTTTTCTTTTTTTTAATTGGAAGTAACCATTTACAGTGCCCTCCACAAATATTGGTACTCCTGGTAAACATGCCCAAACAGTCAGCTAAGGCTTCCCAGTTTAATCTTGTGGCTACCTTTAAGTAAAGTGAGAAGATCATCAAGGATAGAGACACCTCCCTTTTGTATTCAGTATCTGAAGTGATGTTTCCAAAATTGTTGTCAGAGAAGGTAATAAAATGATGATTATCATCAAGTAACTGCTGAATAAATGGAATGTTATTATTCAACCATGAATATAAGAACAGTGATCTTCCTTCACAGGTAACCTGCTCATTGTTCCACAGCAAAGGCTGCTGAGGTTAAACTTTGTTAATAGTTAATAACCAACTTAACAATGCTTGCCTGTGAAAAGCTGATAACTGGAAGGAGACTTGTTTCTCCAAATGAAGTCAAACATCATTTTATCTTAAAGCCCAATGACTGATTTAGCTGCTTCTACAGAAGAAAATAAGCAGCCCCCCTACTTTATTCAACAGGACTCAACCTTGACTGGATAAAATCTCTTTCCAACCACGTTGCACTGTTTGTATTTTGACTGCTTAACAATCTCTAATCTACAGGATCAAGTGTCACTCAGGGGAACAATGTACGTAACAATTCTGCCAGTAAATGTGCTGCTGTTTGTGCATCTGTGCGCATGAAGAGAAGTGTGCTCAACTGTTGTTTTATTTTCTACTTTGTCTTCCTTGCCCCAAGCATTTTAATATGTCTATGCAAGAATGCAGTCATGGCAGATTGTAGGGAGTTCCATAACTTCCTAATAAAGAAGTCAGCCTCACCACTGTCATGCTTCATGGCATGATCCTGTTCTAGATTGTTTTAGTCCAGCACTCTCTAGTCAGGTAATATCACCTGAGTTGGTAAGAGTTAACAAGAAGTAAGTGAACATGTTTTAAACAAAAGCCAGTCATTTCCAGTAAAACTATTCAGTTCCCTCTTGGCAATCTAAAGACATGCTGAGACAAGTTCTAGTGTCCTTTTTCTTTGCTCAACCTAGTTCTACAGTAAAACTGTCACAAATGCAATCACTCTAGTAGCTCAGACTTAATGACACAAGATTGTATCTGACCTATTCATTATATCTGACTGACAACTATTTACCTGTTTCAAGGTAAAGTGCTTTAAAAACAACACAACATATATGTAACTTTCATTAAAGTGATGCAGTTGTTTACTTAGGATTCTTATTCAATTATGTCAAGAAATCACATTAATAAAAACCTTTTCCTCGGGCAAAGGGGGGAACTGGTAAGAATTTGTCTAAGAATGTTGCCAGGAATGCTAAGAATGTTGCCCAAAGTTCATTGATGTCACTGTAATAACGTAATGCCATTAAAACTGCCGACTCTATAGAATCTCTAGTAAGTGTAATTTTTTCAAAAGAATTATTTAACAATAACACTAAAAATGATAATTGCAATTAAGAATGTCCTCAGCTTACTAAGCCTGTACTGCTAAACCTTTTCCTCTGAAAAGACACGGCAGCCTACCTGAAATACTTATCAACACTTTATAATCAGAGTAAAATTTCAGCATTTGAAATTATTTTACTTTACTTTAAAATTGTAAGATTGGTATGGTGGACTACCACTAATGAAAGCAGTAAAACTTAACCCCTCTGTGTTCTGATTAGAGGTAGAATTTTCTATCCAGTAATCTGATTGGAAAACTAAATGTTCCCTCCTGCAATCTGATTGGCTAGATAACTTCTTCCGTCTGCATTCTGATGAGCTGAATTTTCTACTCCGTAATGTGTTTGGCTTGTTATCGCTTCTTGGAATCTGTTTGACTTCCTTGAATCATCAGTCTTGTGGTAGGATTGGCTGATTAAATTTTTCCTCCTGCAATATGATTGGCTAATTGAATAGACAAGCCCGTCATACCAGATCATCAGAAGTCAGTTTCTGTTACTACCATAGAGTTGATATTGTACAGGCTACGCTAGTGTACAATCATTTAGCCATACATTTAAGTGATGAACTCAGGACAAATAATGGTGATATTTTTTATTACAGTAGCAAGTATTTTACCACTGCATTGTTGATTTGTCTGTTTTTCTTAAGATCATAATAAGCTTTGGTTAGGGATACAATTTGCTGTACCACCTAATATACCATCAGTCCACAATTATACCATCATCGAGAAGCTTAAATGGCCTACTTCCTTCAGCAGGACTAATATATATAGCAGCATTTTAAAACTATTTCAATTTGACTGGTTTAACTACACTCAAATGCAGTATGGATTAAGGTAACAGGTAATCTTTTAGGACCTGCTTATAGAGAAATCAATACTCCATTATCTATGTGTGACTGTGAGACATTGATCTGGCTAATAGAACATAACATTCTTTCATTGGCTGAATTCAAATACGCCATTTGGTCTTTCTTCATAGTAACTGTTTTGGTGAGTCATATGAACAAAGAAAGGCCAAAAGAAGTTCTCAGAAGTACTCTGAAATCTCAATTTCCCAATACTTTTACTGCAACGTTTCCTTCTTCAGCCTCAATGAGATTCATGGTTTGAGTTTGCCTTATCTGCCATCTGCTGGACATGCTGGGCAGAGCCAGACACAACCAGAAACCAGCCCTCCAGATGGACTAGTAGATACTGGGGACTATTTACATTCTGACAGTCATATGCAAAATTTGGGTACCACTGTTCAATTTACATGTCTTTTTTTATGTAAGTGAAAAGAAGTTAACCCGTTCTCTACAAAGAGCACACTTCTGCACATTTTAATGCACAAGTTTATTGGCTAAATTTAACATATTGGAAAAAAATGAATCATAAAATTTGTCAAAAAATCCCATATTTAAGTGGGCTCTCTGTAGATGTTAACTTATTTTTAATGAAAAATTTGCCAAAATGTCATTTTACTGAAGACTTTTAAACCTTTGCATATGACTGCATATGTAGTTAGTTATCTTTCTTAAAAATAACATTTTTGAAAATAAGTTTTTTGGAATGATGCCATAAAAGAACCACTTTTGGTTCCCTAAAGAACCTTTTAATTTATGATTCTGTAAAAAGTTTAAAGTAACCCCATATGATGTAAAGGTTCTACACCAATTCAATTCTTTTTTTCTACAACTGTACGTCCAGTGTGAACGACCATTGTGAGTGTACAAACTGATTGGTAATATTTTGTCTGAGCTACAGTGAACAGGACATTGTCAGCTTTTCTCTTATCTGAGAATCATCATTCTCTGTGCTGCAATGGAAAACAATGACAACCTGCTTTGCAAAGACGATTATTTATTGGACATCAGACCCGAAATGCTCAAAATGCAAGGCAGTCCATCATATAAACACAGAAAAACAAACATAGCTATTAAAAGGTATATACTTCATTTTATTGAAATATTATGATATATAAAAGACAAAACTACTCATGATTGTCTGTTAACAAGATCAAATGATGAAATGCATCATATTGCTAGAATACAAAAAATGCAGGTACATTATTGAATATAAACAGCTACATTCACAATATGACACTAATTACTGTTCATTCTTGCATAGTTGTTACACATTTTGGCAATTTAGGACTTGACTGCTTGACTACCAGTTGTTAGCCTCCTACACATTACTGACAGAACAGAATTGATTTCAACAATATTAATTACCATTTATAAAGATGCTGAAACACTGAACACTATGGCCCTACATATGGCATATATAACACTGCAAACTGGTAAGGCTTCCTCCATGTTGCTCACACCAGTTCAGATTTTTAAACCAGTAAAAAGACCCTCATATGCATTTGACTTTGGCAAATAACTTCATAGTCTGTTTAATGTGTCACTTACTTGCATGTTATATTTACGAAGAGACCAATTATGGGTACAAAAACTTTAGGGAATTATATTCATCATAAAAAATCATTAAAAAGTACATAGGCAGTGCATTTTATAACAAACATTAGAACAGCCAAAGGACTTCATTATATGTTCCAAATTCATCCACACTGCATGATCATGCATAACACACAGCATGGTCAGCAGATCTAGTGGTAATCAGAACCCTGAGAGAGTGAGGGGCAGAAACAAATATCTAAAATATATTTTAAAGTCCAACTCCTCTTTGTGCAGTCACATCTGCACCTCTTAAGTACAGATGTTAAAAAACCAAAGACTTTTTCAATGACATGATTAGTGTTTTATGCTAGCGAATGCACTGTCATCACCCATTACCTAACGCTGCTCACCAAGAAATGGCTTTCCTGGAGCAATATGGAAAATAAATCAATGAACAATTGACCTCAAGCTATTAGAGCATCAAAAATATTCAATCCCCTTCAGTTATCAGCATTTTCTGGATTACAAATGACACTGTGAATTCATATGCTCCAACAATACAGTTTTAAATCCAAAATAAGTTAATTGTTTGCAGATATTTTAAAGAATTCAAATCCCTGTTCTCTGGATGCTCCAAAGTTTCACAGATTAAAAAAAAAAACTAACAAGAGCAAAATTGCCTCCTTATTGGACATATTAAAAGTAACTGTCACATTTTCTAAAAAAATAATTCTGTTTAAGAATCATACTAAAAATGTAATGACTAAAATAAGAGATAGTGAAGTACAATGTATGAATCAGAAAAAAAATGTTTGGATCTCAGTGACCACAGTTGGATCAGTACTCAGGAAATGGAAGCTGGATCACACCACCTAGACACTAGGAAAAGCCACTCCTGAAAAACAAACTAATCCTGCCCATGACTGAAGAAATACCACCCCAGTGGGTAATTGGAAGCTTTAGAAGAATTTCCAGTGTGCTGGCTACTATTTGCCAACAACACTGCACATCACTGCAATGTAAGTTACAATATAGTTTATATGTTAAGATGAAAATTAAGTTTTGTAATTAAAAAAAAGAAGTTGGCTATTTCTAAAAAGTGACTGGATCAATATCATATATATGTCACCTCATGTGTACATGTTTACAATTATGCTTGTTACTTAATATGCTGCCTTTTTTGTAAGCCTGTGAAAAGCGTCTACTCTGTGCATCCTGCAGGCTTATTCTTTAAGGCTTTATATTGTTTGCATTGTTGTTCCTGTACATTTCTGCAGCCACAGAACGTAATCAAGCTGATGAAACAGGGACAGAAGGTAGCACAGAAAGTTCAGTTAAAGGTTGGGTTGTCCTGATTTACATAATGTAACTCCCAGTCTGAAAACCAGTCCGGCCTTGCCTTCAAGTATGGTGGTGGCAGTATCATACCTTTCATAAGGATCAATCTTTTAAAAGACTGGCCATCTTTAAAAAGATAATGAAAGAACAGATGGGACAAAATACAGAGGAATACTCTCTATAGAGAGCCTGCCTCAGTCTACTAAGAAACTGAATCTTGGGAGAAAGCTCACTTTTGAGTAGGACAGTGATCTCAAGCACAAGGTCAAAGCATCACTGGAGTTGCTCAAAACAGGTCAATGTCCTACAATTAACCCAATGTCCTGACCTAGACCTCATTGAGAATCTGCAGCACTACAATGACAGTCTGCAAAAGCTATCTATCCAGTGTGCCAAGTCAAATGGCAAACACTGCACAAGCAAAGCATATCCTTATCCCAAATGACGCAGAGTTATCATTACAGCCAAAGATGCATTAGCATGTCCGGTAGATGTAAAGTAAAATTTCAGTGACTTATTTTTCTTTTAGTACCTGCAGAAAGCTTTGTTAGAACATAAGAATTCATAATAAATATACTGGACAGATATACAGGTTTAGTATCATTTGTAATACAGATAATGTTTCTATAATTACTGGACAGAATACTTTCGAAAAACACTATGTTTAAAAATTATGCAGGTCAGCTCTGGCTCAACTCATCAGTGATAGTTTCTGCTAGCATCACAGCAAAAAGAGCACCACAGCATTAGTCATAAGATCACTGCTGTGTTACAGAGAACAATCACAACCATCCAGTATGTTAAACCCGCACACTAGGCAAAGATCAGTGTAATTAAAATAAAGTTCATGGCTACTTTAAATAGCTCAAGCACATTAGTGTTCTGTTTAAAGCTCTGGGAATGAGGTGAATCTCAATTGCACTGTGGCGTTAGCAGTGCTGGGTGATGCAACAAAGACAGTGCAAATACTTTTGTGTTAGCACTACTTTTGTTGCCCAGCAAAAACAGACAATGTTACTAGAAGAGCTAGTATTCAGGCAGATCAGCAGAGACATTCTGCATCCTCTCCACCACGAAGAAGCACAAAGTGCCTGTGAAACCCAGGATGACCATAATCAGGAGCTGCCAGGTCAGCAGTAAGTAGCCACTATAGAAGAAAGCCACCGCTGCAAAGATAGACTGAAAGGGAATAACATGTTACTATAAAGAGCATTTATTTCTTTTTTTATTATGTTTATTATGAAGCAAAATGTTTATTATGAAGTGATGAATGTAGGTTGGAGAGTCACACTTTACCTGAACAAACTTAAAGATAGCAAAGGCTGGAGCACTTTGCTCTGAGTAAACTCGACCAAGAATACTGTAGAGCTGAGTGTTGAAGCAGCTGTCCCCGAGCCCGAGAAGAAAGCTGCACAGCATGGCGATGGACACGCTGAAAGAAAAAGGATTCTTTTAAAGAATGACAAGTATAAGACATACACAGACTGTATAGGAGTAGAGTTTGTCAGTACTGTACCTCGGTGCCAAATAAGGCTTGTGCTGTGTCCTGGTTTTGAACACTACTGGAGCATCATCTGGTATATTGAGGAAGATTAAGTAGAAGGCCACAAAATGCACCACCATACCAAGGAAGACGACCGATGTGCGTCTGAACCGATTGTTCTTCAACACAAGTCCGAACAGGCCTCCGCCTAAAAGGGATGAGCCGTGATTTTCAGTGAAGCTGCGTTCATGGTCAGGTTGCAGTGAAGCTTTTCACTGGACAAAGCTTGACTGAATTTTGAACATGACTTAAAACTGGCTTGAACTTGATCTTAAGTGAAAGTTGTAAATGTACTAGTTTCAGTCTTTAACACTCTGCCCACATGTATAATTAATATCTTTTGCACGTGCTGCTGGCCACAAGTATCATGATTCTGTCGGTTCCATTCTGATTGACTTCACTGATAACATGTGTGAATGCAATTTTTAAAAATTTATTCTATTCTAATAATACTTGATTATTGTTATTATTATTATTATTATTATTAGTGACTCCATATATATTATTTAAGTGAAAGCTTCTGTAAAATGATGCCAAATGGTCCACAAGGGCTCATTAACTGGGGCATTACTTGCTTAGACACAGTTAATATTTGCATACCAACTATTTCCCCAAATCCCACCACGATCCCTGAAATTCCAATCAAGGCTTTGGATGTGTCTCCAAATTGAGTTGTTGCTCCAATGCATGTTCCGTATACACCACTGTAAAAACATAGCTCCAAACCTAGAAGGGTGGAACACCATCATCACTAATCATGTTAGTCACATATTATTAGAGAAAGGAAGAACGCACTGATGTCTTCAGCGTGACATAATTATGTCAAACTTACCACTGTATGCCATGCAAAAGCTTAAAAGTAATATAGTTTTTGTGCCAAAAAGGTGCAAAATGGTCTCTAAAGGGGACACAAGAGAAATAAACATAACTCATCAAAATAAAATATATTACAAAATCTAAAAAATTTCACTGTTACAAAAAAATCAGTTCCATTGATGTTGTTATGACTTGATTTGCTTTAAATCATGCAATGAAAACCAAAATGCATGTTTGCAGAACATACAATTTCTTGTGACAGCAATGATGGATGGAAGTCATATCATAATGTATGATAAAATATATATATATAAAAAATGTTCTGTCCTTATGGTTTAAGTACTTACTGAACTCCGTCCTGGCGCTCTTTATAGCAGAGTTGGCTCGCTGCTTATATCTGTAACAAAGGGCGTTGGAACAACCTTTACAAACCAAACAAGATCTAAAATGGTCAAGTGTGATTATCAAGCAAATAACTGATCACTATCATACTACTACTACTAAAAGAAGTGTGTAAATGGCTTTACATTTGTCGAGATGACAACAAAGACCGTCCCTCCTCTTCGGTGAGAACCTCTTCCTCCTGCTGATCAGACTTTCTCAAAATGAGGAAACTTAGTGTTCCAAGCACAGAGGTGATCAGCAGAGCAATAAACATGATCCTTCTGTCTCTGTCTGTAAGGGTCCAGGAAGAAACCAAATGAAACATTAAGGATTGGATTTTCAGATGACGATGAAATCTAATTCTGGACTAAATTAGTCTGTTAAAACCTTAAAATGATGACCTACATGTCTTCTTTTTGGACGCTACCAACGGATTGGTAGCAAAAGCAACACAGCATGATAATTTAATTATTCACAAGCTGATACTGATCCTGATGTTTTTTCAAAAGGCCTGATTTACTGATGCTTATAGATAAACTATGTAGACACTGATCAATTAACAAGTACCTTAGCTCTAAAACAATCCGATTGAAGATTTAAAGGTAAATATATGCTGAAAAGTGTATACAGGCCATTATTAAACTTAATGTACAGCATGTGCCCTGAACTGTCAATCTCTCACTCAAAGACTGATTTCCTATTTAAGACTTTTAACAATGTGGTATTACACAGTTTTAAATAAAGTTATAGAAAGATCAGTCTGACTGAAGATAAAGGGTTAAGGAAAGTTTTTTAAAGTAAAGGAAGCATGCAAAATTTTACAACAGATTAATAACTAAGCTTTTCCTATATATGAGAAAAATCAATCTACCAAGTTCTTTTTCTTGATATCAAGGTGGAAATGTTGCAGATTAAAATGCACTAATTTGGCTTTAGGCCCACCTTTGAATGCTATATTTATGTTTTAAATTCTACATATTTTGTCATGCCATTGTCACAAAAACAGGTAATATTCTTCCTTTACTTTAAAGACATTAGGAAAAATAGAAAAGAGAATAAATATAATTTTATTTAGTAAGATATGATTTTGAAGCTGATTATATAAGTTACCTGCAATTTCAGTTTTTCCTTTCCAATCTAAATAAACATAAAGATTGCCAAACAACATACTGAAAGAAAAAAGCCAAAGTTATTGTAAAGAAATCAAATTCCAACAAAAATGATTGAACAAATGATTATGAAATCTACTGGTGAATAAATCACATGGTAAATAATATTTCTGAATATTTCTGTTGGAGTTAGATTGCACACTCCTCTGTCAGTACGGTGTTTACCACGACTACATAAATCAAGTTAGACTTTTGGTTAAATTCACAGTGATTCTTCTGCTCTTGGTGAACTTTATCCATCTTACTTGTACAGATACTGGGGATAATTGTCATTGTCAGCAGTGGTCTGTGCTTTTAGTGACTTCTATTCTGATTTACCTGCACTGCAACAAAGCCCAAAACATTCCAGTGTTCCTGTTAATTGTGGAGGCATCAGAGTTCTCCACCAGAAAGTGTCCTTGAGCCGTCCAAAGCACTTTGGGTAAAAAAAAAAACAAGTGTTTAATCCAACCTGAATGCGACAAAAGCCTGCGAACACTGAGCAAATATTACAGCATTATAACACTGGATTTGAGATTGGACTGGATCATACTAACCTACTAAATACTACTAATCTAAGTCGGGGTGGTATGTTGTATTTAGCCACAAAGAGGATCTACAGCAGGGGTCAAATGCTCTTTATGGAAGAGTTGCATGAAAAAATGAGTCTGAGATGCTTGTGAAAAGTGAATACTTACAAGCAGCTCCAAAACCAATTAGCACTGAGGTCAAATAAAAGGACCAGGTTGATGGAGAAATGAATACAGCTATATAACCGCTGAAAGACATAGAAAGAGCAGGAAAAAACTATAGATATGATGCTGAAGACACACTGAAGAATTACAGAATGATGTCTGCTGGACGTGTTTGCCAGTTCATTATACTTGCCTGTAAAGAATTCCACTGAAGAACATAGTAAACCGTGGTCCAATTACTGCTACAGCAGTGGGGGCTAATAAATTTGCAAATGAAAAAATTCCATATATTATGCCAAGGCTGAAAAAAACAAAGGGAAATTTCATTAATGAGCACATCTCAAGCACATTAAATACTGTCCATAGAGTCATAATCTATATAAAGCTGGGGGTTGTATCACTTCATCAAAATAAATTTTAGGTATCAGACTGATTTACATCATGATCGAACCAAAGTTAATATACTTAAAACTTGTAATGTTCTCTCTGTCATTGCCTAGGAAGAAACACAGTCCTTACCTGTGATATCCACTTCCACTGAAAGTAGCATTATGCAGACTTTTCACCACAGTTTGCTAAACAAAATAATAATAATAATTAAGCATAGTTATTAATGTAGAGTAAAGAGAACTAAGCATAGAACTAAGCCATAGTCTTGGGCTGATACTTAAATAAGTGCCAATATTATGTAAACTACCATTCTTTCATTTCCTTTCACATGACTATTTATTTATGTATGTATTTGTTTGTTTGTTTGTTTGCCTTTATTAAACAATTACATTTGTCCAATCATTCTAATCTAAAACTAGGTAAAAATTAGGTAAAAAAAAACATGCACACAATTATAGGCATTACCAAGGAACAGAACATCACCAACTAAATACTAAATACTAAAGTACTACACACATACATGCTTTGAATGCCACGTGAAAAGACTACAACATGGATTTTCAGTCTGGCAAAGTGAATGAAACAAATAAACTCTGGTACATGAGATCTGCTCTCTGGTAAAGTGTAAAATGTACAAGCTTGTTCAAAAGAAGGGTGTCAACACACCAACTTGACAATATTTTGGTTTCCAACCAAAGAACTCCATAGACTCTTAAAATATTGCCCCCCACCCAGGGCAATCATCAACATTAGGAACAGTCCTTCGAACTCCTGGAGACCACCATTTCTTATTTCTAAGCTGAGATCTAAACATCACTTGCAATCTTAGGAAGGCACAGCAAAGAATGCACCTTTGGCACCATATAAAAAAAGTTTGTTTTCCAGCTTATCATTGTAAGTGCCATCATATCCATTATGGCTTGGTTTAGTCCGACAACTGTCAACTCCCAAAGCAAAATACAGCATGAGTCCACTGAGAAAGTTACTGCCTGTATCCTCTCATTGACTGATGATCTTTATAGAGTACTACTTGTTCCAAATACTTGCCTGAGAAAAAACAGAGCCATTAAACATCTAAACAGCTTCTTCCACAGAGCTATATTTCTGGCCAACAACTTAGTGAAATCCTCTCAGTCATCAAAGTATCTTTTCACCCCTACAACTGCCCAGAAATGACATTCTGTACTGTTACATATCACATTACTGCACTGTGCAACACAATGCACATTTATATGGAGTGTACTGCATCTTCACATTTTGACCTGTTTCATGTTGACTATATTCTCCCACATCCTCTGGTTGAGTTAAAAATGCACAGATAGTGAGGATGCAATTTAATGTAACGACAATGTAATACCATGAAATAGGCTACCCTGCAAAGAAACTGACCTACCACTGATATACACTCAGTTTTCTTGCTACACGGGCATGACAAATGGGTGACTGAAGAAGCAGATTGCAAACACGAGATGCGCCTGACTGGGATTTTCTAAACAATGGCCTCATACAGACTCTACATACATGATGCAAGCAAGAGAACAGAATCTTCTCAGTGAAAACCTTATTAATTTTGAGATCATTTTTCTATTTTTAACAAAAATCATCATTCATGAATTCACAAACTGCATAAATCATGCAAAACTTACTACACATACATGCACATATGTGGTTTTGTCATTTACTTTGTTCCAATATCGTACCTGTTTTTAAAACTACATTAAAACTACCAAACTTCACAACATGCTAGCTGAGCTGGGCGATATGGCAAACACGTAATATCACAGTACTGCAAGAAATGTTCATTATTCACAACATATTACAATATATTTTTTTCTGATTAGTTGAAAAGACAATGTTAGTGGTGCCACATTTAACACCAAGACTATGAATATAACGATTAGTATTTAACGTTTTACATACTATGCTGCACTAAATCCAATTAAACATGTTAAGTGATGCTCGCTTTGTAAGCAAGGATGAAGTTGTTAAGTGTTTTTTGTGACATATTGTGATGAATCGCGATATCGATAAATACTGTCACATTGCCCAGCCCAACATTCGAGTACCATGCTAACTTAAAAAGCCAATTAAAAGCAAAAAAAAGGTCTAAACCGACACTCTCACTTACCTCTATGTTGCCGCAGGTCGTGAAGGCAGTAAAAATGAATAAGAACCCAATTCCCAGAATGACCACATTATATGTCCTGAAGTCAGCCATGTCTTGTTTATCCGCGGCCAAAAATTGCTCGAAAAGCGATTAGTTTCTCCACAGCTTCAGCAAAGGCGCATTCCTCGACGGCATTAAGCTCATTAAAGCAAGTAACAGCAAGAGACATCCACACGGGTAGCTGCGTCTACTGAGCCTAAACCTTCAAACATTATAACAGCGTGGCTTTTTGCAAGCACACTTCAGTCTAGCCCATATAGTTCTGCAGAAACACTGAAATCGCTATTTAATCGCTCCTCTTACTGCCTCAATGCTGCTGTGATGGCGAATACAGTCGGAGTGTCATCGTGTTTCTAAGACTCTGCTTGCTAACCTGAAAACCAATATCCAGTTCAGTTGCACAAGACCAGCATTATAGCTGCGTAGCTAAACAGCAAAATAACGTCCCCTAATGTAGTTAAGTCACCTCACGTGGTTTACATTAGTGACAGACTTTAAAACACGACATACGAAACTTCACTCAGCTTTACCACTAAAGTTAGTTAATTTCCCGTTGAAATTGGCTTTTCTAACATGCACCAACTAGATAGTTTGCCAACTATAACTTTTATTCTGCCGTAAGTCACCAGCCACTAAAGTACACAAACCCTCGTAAACCAGCCACCGCTAACTTCTGAACTCGCTTTAAACTATTTGAGTAATGCCACAAACCGAAGATGCATGGTAGTATGTTGTATTATTTAGTATCTCGACGTAACAGCTGAATAAATAAATACAAGAGCTCTGTAAGTGGTGGCAGCGACCTCGTCACAACAACCTGACACCTTAACGTTAGAAAATAACTGAATTTTCCAGATTTTAAAAGCGCCAAGTCACTACGGGAACAAAGCGGGTCCAATCCGTGACAGCGCGTTCTTTCCCAGCAGGCTTTCCTCATATTGTACACAATCATCATGGCGGCGCAGGATGGTAGGCGCATGGAGAAAATCTACTTAAATGTCGTTTCGGTTGTGTTTGAGACGCGCCTGTCCGCGTTTCGGATCTTAGTTTGGATTACTTCGTGTCTCCGCGACGTAACATAGGTGTTCGCCGAACTTGTCAGGGTTATTCTGGCTGATATTTCGCGGTTAGCTAACTAGCCTCAGCGAGAAACTTAACGTTAAGCAGAGCAGCGAGCTAACCTAACTAGCTCTTGGCCAACTTACAAGCTCCATTTGCTCTTTTGCTCCCTTACCGAAGCCACCGGTCTTGTGTGTTGCTCTCGTTTTGGATTCGTGTCTCAAGCGGCAGTATGCCGTTATATATACTGGTAACACTGAACGAGTGGTCTCTGTAGTTGTGGTGCCTGTTAACAGGTATTTTTACACAGCCAAGTTAACAGAGTCTGGCGAGTTTTCTAGATGGTTCAGCGTTAGCTCGCCACTCCGCCAACGTCAGCTACACAGCTAACCGGCTAATGTTTCACATAATGTTAACGATGCTGAAGTCTTGGGCTTCGTCACTCAGTTTCCCAGATAGAGCCTGAATACGCAGACGAGGCTGTTCTCTGTTTTAAAACCGTTAGAGCAGTGCATTCAGTTATTTTTGTCTTGACTGGAAATGAAAAGATTGTTCAGTTGCAAGGCAAATGTTTCAGTTTTGCAGACTGTAAAAATAGTATTCGGGCTAAGAAACGTGTGTAACGAGTACTCAACGTAATCAGTTTTGTTTGTATTTAAAAGCTGTTCTGCATTCTCATGAATGGTGATCTTTGTTTAGTTAAAAACCTTTGACAGCAAGTTGGCTTTTACAGTCAGTTTTTTTTAAATCACTTCACCTATTTACCTAATATTGTTGATTTTAGTATTTGTTATTTGAAAGTCATTTCTTTTTGCTGTTCTAAATGCATTGATGTCTCCTTATTCACACAGGGAGTGAAGGACTGGGAATGGAAACTGAAGTCGGGCTGAAAGAGTCAGAAGTATTATGTGACGGTGCTAGTAAAGGAGATGCAGCAGGGACTGAAGAAGCATCTCTTACAGATGGTGAGAACTCCTCACCTCAGGTCCCAGCTGTCAGCAACGGAGATGACAGTGATGAGGGGAAAGAGATGGTGGAACTGAAAATTATTTGGAACAAGAACAAATATGATCTTAAAATCCCTTTAGATGGAACTGGAGCTAAACTGAAAGAGAAAATCCACACACTCACTGGTAAGAAAGATATTCCAGCAATTTAAATAGTTTGGGATAGGTACCCACTTCTTTGAAACGATACTTTTGATCATATTTGTGTGTCTTGTATAGGTCTTCCACCCGCTATGCAGAAAGTAATGTACAAAGGACTGCTACCGGAGGATAAGACACTTCGTGAAATTAAAGTTACAAATGGTGCAAAAATAATGGTGGTTGGGTCTACGATAAATGACGTATTGGCAGTAAACACACCTAAAGAAGTTATTCAACAAGAAGTTAAAGCTGAGGAAAACAAAAAGGAGCCTTTGTGCAGACAAAAGGTGGGAATCCTTATTTACTTAAACGTTAAGCTTGGTTATGCTTTTGCTAAGAGGATGTGGTAAAGAGATATATAAATACTCAAATTTCAGATGTTGTGCTTTGGTGGCAGTATTGGTAATATTAATTGGTATAATTATCCTTGTGTATAATTTCTGTTCTAGCAACACAGAAAAGTGTTGGACAAAGGAAAACCTGAGGATGTAATGCCATCAATAAAAGGAGCTAAGGTAATAGATGAAAAACATTCGTCAATCTCATCAGGGCCAAAAAGGATGGCTATCTGAAATGTACTAACACCTATGTTAAGAATGTAGAGAAATATTAGTAGTCATTGTAAGAGTTTCTCGTATCAATGTAAGCAGTTTGCATTTAAATACAGTTTAAATTATAAATATAGCATGTAATGTGATATTCCCATGTAAGCCTTGAAAAGTCAGACTGCCATGTGCATTAACGGAAAGATTTTCCAAAGCTCTGTACTCTGAACCAGTTAGGGGAGTTCTTTGGCGTGCTGAATAACTCCCTTGTGCACTCTAATGACATCCAAGTGATCTCTTATTTCTTAATAGGAGCGCTTACCGACAGTGCCTTTATCCGGAATGTACAACAAATCCGGTGGAAAAGTGCGGCTCACTTTCAAACTGGAACAGGATCAGCTATGGATTGGAACAAAGGGTGACTTCTTGTTTCTTCCTCTTATTAATACTCAGTATCTTGTTTTGTCATTTTTATAATCTCATTGTACTTTGGCCTACAGAGAGAACAGAAAAAATCCCAATGGGTTCCATCAAAAATGTTGTGACTGAGCCAATAGAAGGTCATGAGGACTATCACATGATGGTATATGTTTTTTTTCCCTTATGTGCTTTCATTAACATTTCCTTTAACAAATTTCAGACAAATTACTAATATTTGGACATCAAGTTTCTGTTTACCCAAAAAAAAAAACGTTTGTTAGGTGTGCACCAATGATGAATTAACTTACAGAGTAAAAGGCAGATCCCTGCTTTCCCTGGACAGTAATATACTGCACTGCATATGGATGTGGTAAACTTTATCATGCTCAAGCTGGTCATGGGTACCCCCCTTCATGAAGTGGTGCTTGTCAGTCAATTTAAATATAGTTTCCTAATGTACTTTCCCCAGTTTTCAGTGGTAATACTTATTTAGCCAGTATTATTCATTAGTGGTTGTATCATTTCAATATAAGTGCACATTTATTTTCAGTTCAAATTCAGAAATCATACAATAAGTAACAAGAAATATACTTTATGAATTGTTTTATGGTTGCTTCAGGTGTACCCTGAAATTATTATGGCCTCTAGTAACATGTCTCCATGTTTTGAGGTACAGCAAAAAGAACTGGTCTCTTTGGCTTTGCTGGCTAGTACCTTAGCAGTCTGACCAAATCAAACTACGTAACATTGCTATTAATAATACAACTGACTGTATCTATGTTTACTCTCCTAGGCATTTCAGCTGGGTCCGACAGAAGCCTCACAATATTGGGTTTACTGGGTGCCTGCACAGTATGTTGATGCAATCAAAGACACAGTCCTTGGAAAGTGGCAGTATTTTTAATGTGCCTCCTCTATTGACACTGAAGAATTGGGATTCGGAGCAAAACAACAAAAGCATAAACTGGAGCCTGCGTAATGATCTGAAGAACTTTGATATTTGTTTTTTTTTCAAGCATATAAAAACAAACTGAAGGAATTCTGGTGGACAGAACTTTTTTGGGGGGGTTTTAAGTGCACTAAATGGCAGAATCCCATTTTTTTCAACCTGTTTCACCTCTCATTTTTTTAAGCAACCCCAAGGATAAACAAAGAATTGTACAGAACTTGCAAATACATTTCTCCTAGTTATTCTGAAAGAAATAAAAAATTATTTAAGGAAAACAGTTGATGCACCAGGGAGATTTTTATCTTGTAAAGTTCTATGGTGTACCATGGAATTCAGTCAAGCCAAAGTTTCTAACAGCTTACAATATCAAGTGTTTACATTCTTGCTGTCAGTGTTTACTTACAAGAAACAAATGCTTCATCATGCACATAGTAAACATAATCCAGATATAATCTGAATAATTTACTGTTTTTTAATTAATTAGCCTTTTTTAACAAAGTTAATTCTATGAGACTCTTCCAAATACTCATTTTGATTTTAAGGTGAGGATCTGGTTTACAGTTCATGTACTGCACATGTATAGGAGGTAAATGAAAAATGGAAACACCAGATAAAGTGATAGTATATTTCTAGCTTAAAAGACCTTTTTTAAAAATGGATTTTAATTAGAAAGTTCTGAAATGACGGAAAATGGAAGCTTTGTGAAAATTGTACATGGTAAAGGTTCTATGCAAAGAAATCTGGGCTTAAAAACGATCTGGGTTGAAATGAAACATGCAAAGGTGGAATAATGTCAGCTATCACCTGTGTAACATGATTAAATGCTTCCTTATTGTAGCCCAAATTAATATAAAAATGCATAACACCCATGGAATTTGGGATTCCACACTCTTTAAAAAGGTGGTTCTTCAAGGCTTCTTTTGTAAAGACAACGGTTCTATATAGAACCATGAACACTCAAAGAGGTTCTTTGCATTGTGAAATTGTTCTTCAGATTGATGTAGAATGTGTTGTAAATGGTTCTATATAGCACCAAAAAAGGGTTCTTGTGTTGTTACAAGCTTGACCACGTAACAATAGTAGAACCCTTTTTTAAAATAGTTCTATATAGAACCATATACAACACATTCTTCCATCAAACTGAAGAATGATTTCACAATGCAAAGAACCCTTCAAGCATGCAAATCATTCTTTAAGTGTTCATGGTTCTATATAGAATGATGCTTTACTAAAGAACCCTTGAATAACCATCTTTTCTGAGAGTGCAGTTATAAAAAAATTGAGCTGCTTGAAAGTTTCTCAACATTTATGCATGTTTTGCTTCATGTTTCCATTATTTTGTGTAGCCCTGTACACGTTACAGATTTTAGTTTCACTAAAGTTTAGGTGTTTAAATTGAATGTTTGCTTTGTGCTTTCAAGACAAAGTTAAGCTTTGTCCTTGACCTTTTGCTGAAAACAACAGGTACCACCTCTAGTAACAAACTCTAATTGGGACATTGACACTGTTCTCATTCTCTGATTGTGTTATACAGCCAGGTCACCTGTGTGTATGTTTTATCATGTCATGGTGTTAACCAGAAATAAGCATTTTATTATTATACAATAACAGCTGAGAGTTAACTCAACTGATCAACGTATATTTCCTTGACAGTGTTTAGCTGAAAAGGTAATCAATGAGAAAAACAAAAATTTTATTATTGTTTTTTTCAGACAAAAAAAAAATGTTTGACAAATCATAATAAACACATGTAGCCTGACTGGTAACTGATTATGTAAATAAAGTGCATAAGCTAAGCTAAACCTGCCTTCTGCCATGCGAAATGTATAAGGTATTTCTGATTCTGTACAGGTCCTGTGTGCTAGCCTTTGGATAGAAATTCATTCTTAAATTACAGGAGATATTTTCTGAATTGGGCTCTTTTATAGAGTTAAGAATGACTTCTTTAAGCTTTTTTTTGAAAATTGACTGGCTGTACATCACATATCAGTACAGGGGCACAATCTGGTAGACTGAGTATGTTCTCAGTGTTGTGGTTATATTTTTACAATGCCCACATATCCTCTGAAGTCAGTACAAAAACTTTCAGTTCCCATTGTTGAACTTAAGCTCTTTGTTGAGCTTAATCTTTTATAAATCGGGTTGATTCATTTGTTTACCGTAATGGATTATTCACATTCCGCATTGTCAGAAAAAGAGGTACTGTCTGGGTAAATTTTAGTCTCCCGTAGTTCAAACAATATAAATATACTCTCAAAGATACATGATCCATCATGATGAACTAGACATCTGAAGCCTTACTGCCTCTAAAAGTTACCTTATAGAAATATATTACAGAAACTGGTTATAAATATGCTTAATGATGCCTGAGACATTTCACCAACACCCCCACCCCCTGTTAATGCATTAATGGTGGAGGGGTACATGCAGGACAAAGTTGTCCCCAAAGCTCCACTTACCATGTAGGTGCACTTCATAGTTTTACAATTACAGACATCTGTACATCTGTTTCTCCGCATACTTTGATAGCTTTAATAGCTATTAAAGCTAATAGTTTCTCTTCATATTTTAATAGCCCCTTTCACCCCACAGAGCAGGTATTATTTGGGTGGTGGATCATTCTTAGCACTGCGGTGACACTGATGTGGTGGTGGTGTGTTAGTGTGTGTTGCGCTGGTCTGAGTGGATCAGACACAGCAGTGCTGCTGGAGTTTTTAAACACCTCGGTGTCACTGCTGGACTAAGAATAGTCCACCAACCAACCAAAAATATCCAGCCAACAGCATCCTGTGGGCAGCGTCCTATCAACATTGTTGAAGGACTAGAGGATGACCAACACAACCTGTGCAGCAACATGAGAGCTATCATCTACAAGGTGGACAAACAAGGTAGGTGTGTCTAATAATAGAGTGGACACAGTGTTTAAAAACTCTGTCTGATCCACTCGCACCAGCACAACTCACAAACACACCACTACGTCAGTGTCACTGCAGTACTGAGAATGATCCACCACCCGAATAATACCTGCTGTTGATGGTCCTGGCCATTTAAGTACAGGGTGAAAGGGGACTAACAAAGAATGCAGAAAAACAGATGGACTACAGTAAGTGTAGAATCACAAAGTGCACATATGGTAAGAGGAGCTGATAAAATGGACAATGAGTGTAGAAATGACGAGGTTTTAATGTTATGGCTGATCTGTATTTACCAGTTTTTTCTTGTTCACTTATTCAAAGCAGAATAATGACGGCACACTGTTGTCTTAACCACACACTTATTTTATTTTATTTGCTGTTTTTTATTTATTTGTAGTTACTTATGCAGCTAATTAAGTCATTAATGTGCCTAAGTAACTTCACTGTAGTATTGTTCCAGCTTAATCTGCGATGCACAACTTTTCCCGGAACTTTTATTTTGAAATTACAACATCAGGAAAAGCACTTGAAAGTAATTCCCGCGTTTTTAAGTTGCAGCGTTTTGTGTAGAATGAGCGGCGCGAGCGTGTCCAGTATCTTCGGAGAGAAGGCCAGAAAGCCTCCAGTAAAGGTGCTGTCCAGTCAGCTGAGAGAGGCTAAAGGATGCGCCGCGGTGAGCGGAAAGCCGGAGTGCAGTATAAGGAGGCTGGGTGTTGGGAAATCCGGCTCACTGCTGGTGTCGGTGGTTTGGATGCAGGGCACTGTGGTGGAGGTGCAGCCTGATCAGAACACGGTGCTGCTGCTGGACGAGACCGGGAACTTTACGGTCAGTGGCGTTAACAGCATCCCGAAAGGAAAACCCTGCCTCAGCCCTGGTTAGTACAGAGTATCTGTGTTGTATCACTTCAGCTGGCTTTGCAGGTGGACAGTGGTGCTGGAAATCGTGTGAACTCTTTAGAATTACTTGAATTTCTGCATGAATGTGACTTTAAAGTGACCAAGTCACTATCTAACTCAAAACTAAATAAGACAAAACCCAATAAGACAAATACCACGCAAATATAAACGTTTTAATTCATTAATTAAACAAAGCAATACAACATTTAAAGGGGAATTCCACCGATTTTTCAAAATTTCTCCATAATTCAGTAATTGAGATTTTAAACAAAGTCATTCAGAGTGGTTTGATGTGAAATGGTCCATGTGTAGAGAAACTTAGACTGATGGGAACCAGGGGTCACCATGTCTACAAATATAACCATTTTGTTTACTATCCAAAGCCACCAGTGAACCTACACATGTTCTGAGCTTTTATATGTAATGTTGATTGTAAAAGGTCCTGCATGTGCCTTTCTGCAATGAATGAATAAAAAAACTGTTTTAGAGCAATGCCTTCTTAAAATATTGTCTCAGGAATTGAGTAATGTATTGGTAATCATATTATGTGTAAGCTACCTCACAAAAAAAGTTATAGAGGCATTAAACTCTTCAGATGTCTGGTTCCCATCACCCCCACTGTGAACAGTTCTAAGTCAGTAAGTTTCTCTAGAATAGAACATTTCAAATCAAACCGCTCTGGTTTACCTTGTTTACACCTTATTTAATTATGTAGCAATTTTGAAAAACTGGTGGAATTTCCCCTTTAAATGTTTTTGGGGGAAAAATTATATGAACCTGTGCTTTCAGTAACCACACATACTATACTACTGAATGTGCTGGTGTTAGTGGTATACTGTTTTGACGTACTATTTGGTGTAGTAGTAGTATGCAGTTTTGGACACAGCCCTGGTGTGACACCCCTTCGCCCTTTATGAAAACTGACACCAGCCGGTGCAAGAGAGGCCTGTAGATCCTTAGATATTTGTGATCTCCCAGAATATTATATGTCTAGCTCTTGCTGTGATGACTACTCTTGCGAAGGGTAACATTTGTGTTGAACTGTCTCCACTTGTACACTATCTTATAAGCTCGTTCAGCCGGATGAGCTTTAACAACTTTTTCTGCGGTCCTCAGAAACCCTATTTTGACCAAGGCTTTGTTTGTGCTCTCAAAGGTGTGTGTGTGAAGATCAGACTTTGATAGTGAGGACTGGATGACGTAAAAAGGGCATGGCCACCAAAACCTGATTGTTGTATACAGATTAAACTTCCTGACCCTAAAATTTCTGCTATATTGAACTCGTTAACCTAGAGGTTCACATACTTTTTCCAACACAGACGTTTAATAATTGGATTAGCATAACTGGATGGAAAAAGTATTTACTTTTGAGTGTTATTCATTTTATTGGTTCTTTTTATTTTCGACACTAAGATAAAGATCTCATATTTTAGGTCAAATGTATGGCAAAAGTTCACAAATTTTTCAAGCACCATGGTATGGGTATGTCCCCACTGTTATGGAAAGCTGTTTTAGAGTGTATAGATTTTTGATTTCAGAAATTTGAACAAGTATTAAAAATAAAAAAAATCTAATTATTAATTTTATTCTAGCATGTACAAAATTCAGTTCTCACTAGTAAGAGCAAAATAAAATTGACATGTTAAAATTATTTAATTACTTTACTTACTATTGAAACATTTGTCACATGTACAGATGTTTTACATGACAAATTTCATTTCTTTACTAGTATGAAGAACAACTTTAATTGTTCAAATTAAATGTTTGATGTTAAGAAACAGTGGATTAACAGCTAAAACAGCCCGCCACATATTGCAACTCTTCAAAGACTCCTTACAGCTACAGAACTGCGGGCGGAGATACTTTTGAAAAGGCCATCTGATTTCACCAAGGCTTGAAATCATCCAAACTATTCTTCTTCCATCACCTTAAGTTTTCCATCATAAGAAGTCCAGTCCAGTTTTTCTCTGTTGTTAAACAAGTTGAACTGGTTACTTAAGCAGTCTGTGTACTAAATTGTAGAGCAGGCCAGACTATGCTGAGGTTATCCTGAATTCAAAGTGCGGAACACTGATGCAAGATCATCACACTGTACACTTCTAATATTTTGTCTCTGTAACAAATTGCTGTTTTTTTGGAACTTGGCCACTGAAGTTGGTATGAAGTCTCTGACTATAGCTGCAGTTTCCTGTCCCAGTTCTCAATACCCACTGACCACAGTTTCGTGCTCTACTGTCACTACTAACCCTCGTTCAGTTTTTAGGGCTTTTTTTAGCCAAGTTTTGTTCAGATAGAACAGAAAATCCTAACTAGTGATCACAAATTGTATTAGCCCAGATCACCCCAGTACCTGTGATGTCTCAGGACAAATGGAACTAAGCTTTTCCAAACCCATCTTGTACAGTAGGCCTAATGCGATGTTTTAGCTTTAATAGCCAGTGCATTTTTAGTCTTCGTTCAGTTTTGAACTAAAAAGTATCATAAATACAATTACAAACAAGTATTATGGACGATTGGTATTTAAAACTGCAACATTCTCAGGTTATTAAATTTCACCTACAGGTAAATACGTGATGGTCATGGGGGTCATCCAGTCGCACAGTCCAGAGCCAGTGCTGCGTGCTGTGAAGATGGCAGATCTTTCGGACAAAGCAGCGATTCACAGGAAAATGTGGAAGTATGAAGTTCAAGACCTCCAACAAACTTTGCCTTAAACTGCAATATTCCACTCTAATTTATTGGTGCTGCTAGAACATGTTGTATATTCTGTGTTCAGAAAAGTTCTGGAAGAAACGGCAATAACAATCCGAAACAAAGCAGCTCTTTAATGCTTAGTTTATTCATCTGTTTAAGATACATTACAACTATTAAAAATGTGAAGGTAACTTTTTGAGTAAACTTACATATAACTTCAGATTACAGAATGACATTCAGTTTGAGGTGTATATTATTTGAGAGAAAAAGTTCTGCTTGTCTCAAGACCATTTATCAGTAATATTTTTACAACAGGTGAGTAACTAAATAAGGCACTTTCAAATGTAATGGCATGCATGTCTAAGGGTGAGTGGTATAAAATGTTAGCTTTATTTTTATGTAGTGCTTTCCTTTCTCTAACATACCTTGTGAAAAACTTACGGAGTTTAAATCTGCTGTGTTAAAGATGAATACATGAAACTAAATACATGGATTACATGAAAAAGAAGTTTGATCTGACTGTCTTCTCACAAGTAATGTAAGTGTTAAAAAAAGGAGAAAAGGTCGTCTAGACAAGTCTGAAATCTAGGTTTTTGTTTTTTTTTTTTGGTTTTGTGTTTTTTTTTGTTTTTTTTTTATTTACAATGGTGATCAATCATCTGTATTTATTTATATTTAAAATAAAAGCATATACCAAGTTGCTGTGTCTAAAAAATGTCTTTGGAGTAGCCCTTCTGAAAAGTGGCTTTTTACGATGATATTTTTTTATAATCATTACATTTTTGTCTTTAATTTGTGGAGGTATACTTTGTAAATCACACGACAGCAGCAGAATTATATGTTAAATTGTTGATGTTTTTAAATTTACAAACCTGGAACCATTAGCAGACACTGATTAAAATAAATATCTAAGTAAATATACCTTTCCTGACATATTTTAATATTTAATTTTTGCAGTAAAAAGAAACACATGGAATGCTGAAAGTACAGTGGGATACATGTTTGGTTCCTGTTACAGCACCATACGGTCACATCAGAGTCGTTTGTAGACTCCTAAAACACTGGTGCAGTTTGGGCAGCGGTGGGTCACATCCTTCAGACAGTCCACACAGAAAGGGATCAGGCAGCAACCATAGATACAGCTGTTACGAGAGATAGAAGTGTGCACAGAAACGGAAAGGTTACATCTTAAGCGAAACTTAAAGAAACCGAAATACAATGCATTCATTTTTATTGCTTACACACGCATCTTACCCGAAAATGAACAGGCCTGCACAGGTGAGCCAGGTCATTGTACCTGAATTGTACTCCAAACGTGTTAGTACGGACTGTGCACAGTGGGGGCAATAGGCCTGCACAGGAAGTTCACCAAACGACACACCAGGCTGGACGTATACAGTCTGCACTGACACTACAGGACACAAGGTATAAACCATTAAGCACTGGGATCTATTGTTTCGTGTGTAATGATGCACATTTTCAGGTTTGTTGTGATTTTTTTTCTGAGGTCAACAGTGAGTTTGATTTAATATTTTTGTATTAATATAAAATAATATAAAAATGTCTTGGTTTTACAGAGCTCTTATTATGCACTACACAATTGTTTGGCTCAAAAAATCCCTTTTTTTTTTTTACATTAAAACAAAAAGACTGCAAAGTTTAAACACTGATGTTGATGATGATATACCAAGATATAAACAATACAAAAACATTAACTGCCTCTTAACACAGCCTGTCTCTATGTGCAACTCTGAAATAAACAGGACAATCACAAATAAAATATGTAAATAATCCCTGTGAAATCTGACACTAAGCATAAACTATCAGTTACTTTAAATTTTCGTTTTGTGATTTAAAAGACTGAAAGACAGTTTTTGAAAATATCATTTAGTAACTGTTACGACCTTTATATATATATATATATATATATATATATATATATATATATATATATATATATATATACACACACACAGGGTGTCCGAAAAAAACTGACATCATTTCGTAGTCTAATAACACAGCCAATTATCCCTCAAATGATCTCAAATTTTAACAACGTGTAAAACTAACCAAGTTTAATTTTTAATGTTTTTTTTTCTGGTTGAAGAACGGCGTTCACTAGAAATGAAAAGGCATTTTATGTGTTAGAATATGTTCAAACACAGTCAAACAAGAGTGTGCAGCGTGCATTTCCGATAAAACTCAATAAAAATGCACTAACTGGAAAGGAGATTTGGACATGGCACAAAAAATTCAAAGAGGAAGGCTGTCTGTGCAGGGCAAAGGGATCTGCACGACCATCAGTATCAGAAGATAATACATTTGTGAAATTTTGTGAAATCGGTTACAAAATCTACATCCCTCTGAATTTCTTGTTCGAATTTTGATAAATAAATCTTGAATTGTTCAACACGAAGCCTATTTAATTTCATTTGCCTAGGACATGAAGTTAATCAGATAATCTCAAATGATGTAAATTTTTTTGGGACAGGTGTGTGTATGTATATATATATATATATATATATATATATATATATATATATATATATACACATACACACACACAAGTTTGTAACATACATAAAGTTTTCGACCAATTGTGTGGAAAAACTTCATTCTCCCTCATACATATTTATTACATAAAATAGTTATGAATACACTGCATAATATATAGTTTTGTAATATTTTTTAAACAGGTGATTTTGGCCTAAAATGCATACATCATTTCACATCAAACCACACACTCACAAATTTTAAAAAATTGGTGGAATTCCCCTTTGAGCAGATGAACAGCTGCCTGATCAGCTGATGCCGTCCTATTCTCGATTTGATTAACCTCTTAAAATCCAGTCTTTTTACATACTAAGGCTTATTCAGTAACTACATGTAATACAGGGCAAATTGGCCAAGTTATTCTTAGGTTATAAAAGTGTTAGTAAACTTTTTTTTTCCTGACCATTTGAGGGGCTCAATTAGATTTTTATGCAATGATGAAATTCTTAGCTGCATAAAAAATAGCAACAACCAGGAATACTGCTTTTTCTCATTCTTGCCTTATGAAAAACCTGATTTCATGATGATAAACGGGAAAGTGAGTGTTCTTACCCACGGGGGTGGTCACTGGTGGTCCGGGAGGTGGAGGCGAGTACATGTGCGTGTAGCCTTGAGTTGGGTATGTAGCCTGAGGTGGGTATGGAGCTGGAGGTGCCTTGCTGTAGCCAGGAGGTGGATGAATGGGAGCCCCCTGCGAATACTGGGGTCCTGCAATCATCGCCTCTTCGTAAGACGGTGGTGGGGGTGCGTGTCCCACCGCACCTGATATCTCCAGAGGAGGTGCGCTCGCCATCGGTGCAGCTCTGAAAACATGACATCATGAATAACAGCACGGTTCTGGTCATATTAAAGCTTATTTAATGTGACTGTAACCGGCTGTGTACACAGTTACCAAAGGCTGAGGTCTAATTTAGCACTGCGCGCTGGCCTAAACGGTGTGATCTACTGCTTTTCATCCGCTGCGCTTCAAGTCGCCATATTTTCACTATCGACACAACTTGAGGTGTGAGCTACACAAACCGAAAGTTAACGAAATTCGCTAAACCCAACGCTTACAGGACGTGTTTAAGGTAGCTTCGGGCTATGGTTAACCTCTGAGTCTCACTTACAGTTTGTGAAATCGCCTTGTCGAGATGAGTGAGCCGAAAAAGCTACTTTGACATTTTCCTTCAGTTTTCACAGCATTTCCTCAAGTTCCGCGTTCAGTCACGTGGTTTAGCCTACAGCGCAGAGCCTCACTGACGCTGTAAACAAATGCACGTCAAAGAACACCCGTATGTTGGTGAAGCTGAAATGCCCTGCTTAAAAATCATAGAAAGCATTAAAAGATTTTGCTGGTTCCTTTTGGTGTCTAATAGTCACTAATGGTGTTTTGTGTTTTCTGGGTTGGTATCACAGTGTCAAGGACTCTTTAACAGGTGTCCTGACTCCAGAAACGTTTGATGATTTCCTAATGGGATCTAAAGGTGTCCCACAGGAAACTAGTGGTCTCTGATGGTGACGTTAACCATTAAGCCATTTCCCATGCGAAAGCAAAACCATCAGGTTTTAATCCCAATGGGTCTAATAGTCTTTTTTCACCATTAGAACCATGAGGATTAACACCTGATGGTTTCGCTTCGTAATGGGAATTGGCTTAATAGTTTACATTAGAGACCACTAGTTTCCTGTAGGACAGTGTTTCTCAACCCTGGTCCTAAAGGCCCACTGCCCTGCACTTTTTAGTGTTTTCCTTGCTCCCAACACACCTGGTTTAACGAATCAGCTCATTAACAGTCCATTATTGGGTTAAAGTGAGTGTGTTAAAGCAGGAAAAGCACTAAACTATGCAGGCCTCCAGGACCAGGGTTGAGAAACACTGCTGTAGGACACCTCCATTTAGATCCCATTTGGAGACCATCAGATGCATCTGGAATCAGTCTCAGAAGGTGTTAAACCATTAAACTGTGAAATCAACCCATGAGGAGAACACCACTATTGAATGTTGGACACCACCACAAACCAACAGAAACTTGGTTTGTATGAGTTTATCATCAGGGACGAACTGTTTGGAGCAGGGGGTGTCCACTCTTGCCCACAAAGGTCCAGTGTGGCTGCAGTTTCTCATATCAAATCAAGCAGGAGCTCCTTTGATTTAAACGACTGCGGGCTTCTGCTTGGTTAAAATGAAAACCTTCAGATACACCAGCACTTTGGGAATAAACTTGGACACGTTTTGGTTTAAAGCAGTGGTTTTAGGACTCCAGTCCTCTCCCTGCAGTGTCAGGCATTCTCTGCCCCAACATGCCTGATCCAGCTCATAAAGAGCTTGATAATAACTGATGAACTGCATCAGGTGTTTTGGGGAGAGAACAGTTGAAACTGTGTGGGTCAACTGGACTAAAACACCACAGTACATTTTCTAATCCCTGGTTCCCCAAGCAGTGATTTAGAGGGTGAATTAAGGTAACCACGAACACTTTTTGGCAAAACTCATAATGACTTAGGTGTTACTAACATTAGTTTCATTATAACTATAGCCTATAGCCTATTTGTCTATGCTGAAATGTGCTGCGTCTGCTTTATGGAGCAGGCGACTGGAGAGATAAAGTGGGAGATTGCAAAATGCATCAACTATATCCCATTAGCAAAGTTTGACAGAAGCCATCACACCTTGATGATGTTTTAATAAACTTATTTTAAAACAAACAAAAAAGCCCATTTTAAAATGCTTGATAAAATTACAGCTTTAACATTTTCTTGCATTCTTGTCTATTTGCCATGAGCTCAAATTTATACATTTGATTTAAAAATGCAGCCACGCCCACAACTTTGATGTCACAGCAGTCAACATGTCACATTCATCACACATACAGCAACATTTGTTCAAATAAAGCAACATCAAAGCGACATTTCTTATTATTGACTGGCATTAAAGCACAGTATCACTATGCGTAAGTACCCAACCTTCCCTGAATTCATTAATTTTCAGTATTTTTAGACAATCACACAAGCTTTCTCATTTCATTAGGGTGAGTTCAGGTAGTGCGATGTCTTATAAAGTACAATACTTAAGCTTTAGTGGGGCTTATGAATATGTAGTATGAACATGAATAAAGGCTGCATGTGTGTTGAATATGAACATGTGTTTTTGGATGATGTGACGCCATGTTTATGGATCTGGCTGGATTTCTGAAAAAGATTTTCTTTTTTATAATATAACCATTATAATCTAATCAAATCTTTTCAGCTTTTGAAAATGCATTTTCAGTGTCAAGGCAGCAATTTACGTCTCCAACTGATAAACTGGTATTAGCACTGGAAAAACAAATAGCAACATATTTCAGCACAGAACGGAAGAACAGCGCAGATTTAAATAAAATGGACAGGACTTAAGTCGCAGGTGTGTGGGTGGCAACCGTACGGCAGGTATGCAGTAAAGCAAGAAAATGTTAAAAGGGAATTGTATATAATGGTTATGATGTCAACCGAGTCATTCAGAGTGGTTTGACTGAGTAGGTTCACGATTTCTCTGTTGTAAACAACACAACCCTGGTTCCTATTACCACCACTGTAAAGAAAATCTGAGTTAATACGTTTATCTACAATGCACCATTTCCTGTCAAATCACTCCAAATGACTTTTTTAATATGAAAATTCAGCAATGCTTGATTTAATTTTGATAAAGAAGTCGAACATTCTGCTTAAAATTTGACCCACATTTTTAAATGGCCTGTTTTTTGTTGCTTAAAATTAGTCACTTAAAACATTGTCACCACGTGTAATCTTCTGTCAGACTTTGACAACAGGCTATTCATGATGGATTTTGCAACATCTCATTTTATCTCCCGAGCCGTCCGTCGCACTCAAGCTGAAACCCTGCTGACAAAAACCATAGAAGCCATTAAAAGTGTCTGTTGGTTCCTGGTGGTGTCTAATAGTCAGTAATGGTATGTTGTGTTTTCCTGATGGATTGATATCACAGTGTAAAGGAGTCTAATGGTTTAACAGGTGACTGGTTGCAAATGCATTTGATGGTTTCCTAAAGGGATCTAAAGATGCTCTACAGGAAACTAGTGGTCTCTAATTGTAACCATTAAGCCAATTCCCATTAGAAAGCCATCAGGCTGCATTCCTAACTGATCTAATGGTCTTTTATAGGCAGGGAATCCAGCCCTGGAAAACAAATAGCAACGTATTTCAGCATAGAATGTATAAAAGCACCTATTTCACTTCAACGGTGAAGGCTTGAGTTGTGATGAAGGCTGTTCTTTTCTGTTTGGCGCACTTTGGCTGAATTCCCTCTGAATTAGTTCAGCGGTGAGACCTTTGCTGAGGTCAGTCTGTTAGAGCTGTGCTTCTGTTTTCTGTGTTTCTCTGTGCTTCTCTGTTTCTCTTTTCCTCTGTTTTATGTGTCTGTTCTTCTCTGTTTCTCTTTTACTCTGTTTTCTGTGTCTCTGTTCTTCTGTTTCTCTTTTCCTCTCCTCTGTTTCTCCTTTTCTCTCTTTTCTGTTTCTCTGTTTCTTTGATCTTTTCTGTTTCTCTGTTTCTTTGATCTTTTCTGTTTCTCTGTTGTCTGTGTTTCTGTGTTCTTCTCTGTTTCTCCTTTTCTCTGTTTCTTATTTTCTCTCTTCTCTGTGTTTCTCTGTTTCTTTGATCTTCTCGGTTTCTCTGTTGTCTGTGTTTCTCTGTTTTGCTCCAGCTGCTGCTGCTTCTCGTCACCTGATTGGCGGAGCACCGTCTTGCAGCTGTGATGTCATTTCCTTTCGAGAGACGAGCGTCTAACGGTCTTCTTTCACGTCTCTTCTGTAAATGTGTTTGTTATCCGAGGCTTCGACATTTTCTCTGTAATTTACGGGGCCGTTTTTAATATTTTGACGGTCATGAGAGCTGCGGATGTGACGAGGAGCCTGTACGGTTTGGAAACATGAGTCGCCGAGATAACGTCCACGAAATGGTTGAAAACGAGAACATGAACGCCCGTCGGCAGTGTTTTTCGATGAAATGGTGAGATAAAGGTCCGCTTAATGCCGCTGATCCTGAAATTACAGAGTTTTTTCCGTTTTGAATGTCATAGTTTGAGCGGCGATGTGTTTTGCGTGTGGTAGCTAAAGAGTATTGTGTGCCGGAGGTTCCTGTTTCCTGACAGCAGTGTATGCAGCTACGGCTGGACCGGATTTTACAGACTTTACACCAGGAATGGTCACTAGCCTAGGAGCTATTTTTGTTGAAATCTTTTCCACAAAATGGCTCCTTTTTCATGAGTTCGGCCGCTGGAGCTCTAAGTGATATTTAAAATACTTTAAATACAGCAGTCCTCTGAGAAGAATTGCGGTGTTGTTGACTAGTTGGACCCTTTGCAGTGGCTAATTGATCATACCTCGTGTTGGTTTGCTTGAAATGTTAAGCTTATAAATGCTTATACGTGCTGCACCACAAATTGTTGCATAACCTGTGGCTTTATGGAGCCGATCGATCGAACCTGCAGGTGGCGAAAGCAGCTCTCACTCCTATTGTCTCCTTTTATGCACTATACAGCGACGAGCCATAACATTAAAACCACCTCGTTTCTGCCCTCATTGTCCATTTTATCAGCTGATCTTTCCATATAGGTGCACTTTGTAGTTCTACAATTACAGGCTGTAGTCCATCTGTTTCTCTGCATACTGTGTTAACCCCTTTTTACCCTGTTCTTCATTGGTCAGGACCACCGCAGAACAGGTATTATTTGGGTGGTGGATCATTTTCGGCACTGCAGTAACACTTGAATTGTGGTGGTGTGTTAGTGTGTGTTTTGCTGGTACGAGTGGATCAAACACAGCAGTGCTGCAGGAGTTTTTAACCAGTGTTTCCACTCACTGTCCACTCTATTAGACACTCCTACCTTGTTGGTCCACCTTGTAGATGTGAAGTCAGAGACTATAGCTCATCTGCTGCTGCACAGTTATCCTCTTTTCCAGTGTCGTCCAGTCTTCTCCACAGAGGGCCAGTGTGGCTGCACATTTTCATTCCAAACCAGCAGAACAACGGATCAGTTGAGCTCCTGCTTTCTTGAAGTGAAAACCTGCAGCTGCACTGGCCCTCTGTGGATAAGATTGGACACCCCTGCTCTAGTCCTTCAACAGTGTTGACAGGATGCTGCCCCCAGGATACTGTTGGCTGGATATTTTTGGTTGGTGGACTATTCTCAGTCCAGCAGTGACACTGAGGTGTTTAAAAACTCCAGCAGCACTGCTGTGTCTGATCCACTCATACCAGCGTAACACACACTGACACGTTACTACCACGTCAGTGTCACTGCAGTGCTGAGAATGATCCACCACCCAAACAGTACCTGCTCTGTGAAGGGGGTCCATGGGGGTCCTGACCACTGAAAAATTTAGAATCAGAATCAGAATTCAGCTTTATTGGCCAGGTATGCTTACACATACAAGGAATTTGGTTTTGGTTACAGGAGCTCACAGTGCACAGTATCAGACAGACATTTACATGTAGTGAATAAAATAAAATAAATATAAAATAAAATACAAAAAAAAATACAATACATAAAACATGCATTCCAACAGGGTAAAAGGGGGCTAACAAAGTATAAAGAGAAACAGATGGACTACAATCTGTAATCATAGAACTATGAAGTGCAGCTATAAGTGTAAGTGGAGCTGATAAAAGAAACAATGAATGTAGAAACGAGGAGGTGGTTTTAATGTCATGGCTGATCACTGTATGTCCAAAAGTATTTAGACATGAGTTGTAGTCCTTGCTTATACAATCGTTCAGTTGTGCACACGCAGCTTGTATAATCTCCATTGCCAATAGAATGGATGCTCTGAAGCTGCTGTACGTGGGCCCAAGGTCACCATGTCCAATGGCATTTTACAACTGGAGGGGTATGAAGCCCCTCAGCATTCGCCTGTGGATCAGTGGAATTGCATTCTCTGGAGTGACTGAGCTCTGTCCAGCACCTTTGGGATAACTAGGAGTGGTGTTTTAGGTCTGGAATATCAGAGTCTGACCTCACTAATGCACTTGTGGCTAAAGGCAATCAAATTCTAAATGTTCCAACAATGCTCCAGCATCTAGTGTAAAGCCTTCCAGAAGAGTAGAGGCTGTTACTGCAGCAAAGGAGGGACAAGCTCTCTGTTAATACCCTTGATATCAGAAGAAACGTTGGTGTCTACAAACCTGGAGATATGGTGTAATTCCAGATATGATCACAACTGACCATGACTAACAGACCACTGTTTTCTTTTTTCAATCAGATGTCAAAAGACCTGTAGGCCAAGAAAGACCACCCTGGCCAGTATCTCCCATTGACTTTTTAAGATCAAAAACAAATTCTCCTCTGCAACCAGCATGTCGATAATGGACCACAGCCCCACCACAGGCGTGGTGACAATCATTGTGATCCTCATTGCCATCGCTGCTCTGGGGGCACTGATCTTCGGATGCTGGTGCTACCTGCGCCTGCAGCGTATCGGCCAGTCTGAGGATGAGGAGAGCATCGTTGGAGAGGGAGAGACCAAGGAGCCGTTCCTGCTGGTGCAGTACTCCGCTCGAGGCCCTCGGGTCGAGCATAAGACCAAGCTCACCCCTAATGGCACCGAAAGCCACAGCTAATTTCTTTTCTTTCTCTTTAGAAGCACATGTTTTGTGTGATGATCCACAGGGATCAAACTTGTTGGCTTCTACTGTATGTGAGAGGTTATAGAATGTTCAGCACTTAAGTTTAAGAAGAGGGGCTTTAGGTTGTACCAGAAAAAAAACAAAACCAATGCATGCGTTTGTCTAGCTGCTTTTAAGTCACCCTTTGAATTTTTACCCCCTTTGTGGTTGTCCAGTGGAACCCTGTTATAATGTGAAACTGAAGATTTTCTGCATTATGTACACTAGCTGGCCTTTATTTACGTTAAATCATGCACTGTGTCTTAAAAAGGCACAGGTCGGTCCACTGTCATGGTGTTTTAGAAGAACTCTAATTTCAACCAGAGCTGGCTCTGGTGTGAAGTCAATTCATGCAATGGTTCAACTGAGAAAATTATAGGAGATTGGTTACAGTGTTTGACATATTTGACATATTTTATCTTTTTCTTTGGAGGAAGTAGTGGTGCACATCTGAAATGTTCCTTGATACAGGAGGCATAGTAATTGTATAATGCATTAGACATCTAAATTAAACCTATTATGAGTAGCTGAAGATCTGGTGACTACTCAGGAGCCTTTGATTATACATGGAACTAATGCCGAGTCTTTGAATAGGATTTGACATGCAGTCAAAGAACTTTGTGCTGAAAAGTTTAATTTAGTCACACTTCTGAGATATTCTCTGCCATCTGCTTTATTTGTAACACAGAGATGAGCATTTTCACATAAAGTCATTATACATGCAGCATTAGTTGCTGTTCTAGTTCTACACTGCTAAGAAGCCATCATGAAAGAGAGCCAATGACTGGGTCCCAGTGTGTAGAGTTACACTGGCAAGATCCCAGAGGTGTTCATTATGGTGGCTGAGCACATGTCTTTGTGGAAGGTCAGCGTGTAAATATTATTTTTATAGACCTTTACATTCATCACACTGAAAATTACTGAAAGAGACATTGTAGCCTGTTTTTTGTTGTTCTTGTCCTTTGATCATTAGCCATTTGTACATGATGTGAGAAACGAAATGAGAGAAAGTGATTTATTTTTATATGATATTCATGCAGACTACATTTGTAGAATTCATTGATCAAATTTTTTGCGTTCAGTCAGTGGGTCTTGGAATCTGGCAGAAGGGAGACTGAAAATGCCAAAACAATCATGTTTTTTTTGTCATTGTTATACTAATATAGAACTACTGTAGCCTATAGTACCTACAGACCTAGCATACTGCCAAGGTATGCCTTTCTGAGAGTGCTGTTGTATTTCTGTGAATTGAAGATTTGTTCACTTAAATTTCCATGAAAACACCCCACTACGTGGATCAGAGTACAGCATGTTAATGCTGCCTACATCTTTGTAACCATGCTGTTTTCAATCAGGCATATATGTTGCTTTATTTCACTCTAACAGAATTTCTAGTGATCTGCTGTACTGAAAAATAAAATCTCTTCACGTGTGTATTGTCTGTTTTGTGTGTATACACTGAGTTCAGTGACATTGTTATATTTAATGAAATATTGTCATTTTCTTGAAAGAAGTTTGTCATTTTAGTATTGAACAACACATTACACTTACCAGACACTTTATTAGAAACACCTTCCTCATAGCTCCACTTTGCTGGTGCACAGTTAGGGGCCATAGCATGCGCGCACACACACGCACATATACATATGTATGTATATACTCAGGTGGGGGACTGCCCATAACCTTGCAGTGACACTTGCATGTTTAAAAACCTTTCTCCCTTATACACTTGTGCCCATTGTGTCACTCGTTACCAGGCTGCTACCGCATCAGTGTCTCACAAGTAATAGAGTAACGTCAACAGCAACTGATCAGTGATGGAGTAGAGCAGCTACTTTACACTCTAATTTCTCTTTGGAGATTAATAAAGTGGTATCTTTATTGTGCACCCATTGCTGACACCCTTGGGCATGTGAGGATGTTTGATTTGGCCTGCCAGAAACCTTAACCCCACTTTGGGGTTTTAAAGTATATAGGGGAAGCACTGCTATGTATAACATCAAATTCTAGTTTTCCATATTAAAATTGCATTTATTTTAAACATTAGATGTGACAAAGTACATCTTCAAAAACTCAATTTGAAACCTACCTACCTTCTTTATTTAACTATTTCATAGTCTTTTAAAGACACTTTTGGCCCCAAGACCAAAATATTTTAGGCACCCCTGCAGTAGATAGTTGGTTAATGTATATCACTATATATGTAGTGTATGTATATAGTTGTACCTACCAATAAGGTAGTAGTATTTAAGGCTTTAAAATCAGCACTGATTTTCCCCTCAATCTAACCACTTCATAAACTTGTATTCTTTTATGGGTGTGAATATTTAAAAGGGTGTGTAACACTTTACTAGACTTCTTCTAAAAGAGAAAAAGGTTTATACACTGTGGCAACTGAAATACTGATAGGCTTAAGTAATCTAGTAAAGTGTAATGCACCCTTTTAAATATGCACACATGAAAGAATACAAGTTTATGATGAGGTTTCACAGACTAAGGGAAAATCAATAGGCCTATTGATCCTGTTTGAATGGGTCACTGGTGGTATATCAAGTGTAAAATCACAAGGAAAAATGAGGCACACAAAGGGTTTAACCCCTTGAAATCCCAGGCTTATTACTTACTGAGGCTTATTATGCAGTAACTACATGGACTATAATGCAAACTGAGCTATTCTTAGGTTATAGCAGTGTGTAGTAAAACTTTGGCCCACCAGTGGGTCCTGGCTATTTAAGTGGTTAAAGGAAAGCTCAAGTGCATCTCTATTTTCCTTCTTTACATTAACTTACCTTAACATTTACATTTTTTCCCTGTTCTTGTAAAGTCACCATTTTGGAGATAAAAGGTTTTGTTCTGACAGTGATGATACAAATTCTTGTTCACACAAGCACTGTTCACTCTAAGAGCTCATCAGAAGAGGAAGCACCTGGTCAGATGTAACACCTGATGCTGTTCGTGTATTTCAGTTAAGATACAGAACAAGGCCACATCATGTGATACATGTGAGCTCCCACTCTTCCATAGCTGCCACGGTGCTCTGCCACAGCCAGCTAGCCTGGACATTCTACAACATTTCTGTCCATTAGCTAACCTTAGGCCCTACATGTCATTTTCACAAAAATACCTAATGAATATTTAACACTGATATTGAAAATTTAGCAATGAGCACTGAATGTTGAAAACAAGTTTAGATACTTTTAGACCACAACAAATGCCATCCTAAAGTGAGTGAGTGAGTGAGGTTCATGAGACGCTTCATGCCTAAAAATAGTGCTCTGCTATGATTGTCTTTCTGACTCTCCTGCCCTCGTATAACGATTCTCACGGTAACATAGCAGTGGTAGGCAGAAACTGATGTTTGGGTGTGTCTCTAAAGTGAAAGACACTTTTCCCCCAAATAATCAAAGTGAGTCAAAAGAGGGAACAAACACGAGCTCCAATAATGGCCTGATGTAAACACTACTTTTTTTACTAGTTTGAGTTGATATGATTTTTGCCCCACATTTCAAAGCAAACACAGGGTAGTTTGGTGAAGAATGAAATATCTGTCCATGAGAGGAGCTGCCAAAGTGTGCTTTTTAAAATAATATCGATTTTCCTTGATCGACTGATGACTTTCCCAATAGTGTTTCTGAACTTAAGCAATACCCCTATGGGCCCCCCATTAAACACCTTTACTTGTCTTAGCTCTGTGAGTTCCCATTACACACACTGACAGTATTATTTGGCCTATTTATTTGTCTGTTAAGCAGCTGAATAACATACATGACACAGTGGATAACATCACTGCAATGCACACAGGTTAAAGTTACGAATGCCACTGCAGTACCAGTAAAAGTCCACGAGCAAGACTCTTGACATATTACATAGCAAAAAATTTGAGATTTAGAATAAAAATTAATTCTTATTATGACCTTCAGGTCTTTAGTAAGATATGATGTTGTTTTGCTTAGAAACAATTGGACAGCATGGAAAAAAGGTATTTTTTAGGTATTTTTTGGTTTTCTTTCATTAAGAGTTAAACATATTTTGTGTTACTGGAACCAAAAGAAGAGCAGGGGTGCTCAATGTGTTTTATCCAGTTCGAAGCAGTGAATCACAGCATAATCTAATATCTAAGTCTGTGGATGAGAGGAAAAAGACTTCAGCCTGCAGAGTTTCTTGTGTTGTAGCCGAATAACTGAAATGCAAGAATATATCATATATATGAATATATGTATATCAGTGGCCCCCACAACTATTTTAATGATGACGACCCAACTCGAAAAACTGGGGCTTTTAGAAAAAACAGAACTTCCTACAAATACAATATTGTGGTGATGTTCATGCACACTCATCAGCTAGCCAATCAGATTGTAGGACAGAAAATGCAAATAGCCAGTGATACTGCAGGACTGGAAATGAAACTAGCCTGTCAGAGCATGTGATGGAAAACACAACTAACACGTCATATAGCAGGAGGGAGAATTCAAAAAGCCAAGGACACTGCAGGACTGAGAATTCAGTTTGCCAATTAAAGTTCAGGACGGAAATTAAACTAACCATTCAGATTAAACGAGAAATGTAACTAATCTGTCAGAGTGCATAAGTGGAAAGATAAACTTGCCAATCTGAGTGCAGGACGGAGAACACAACTAACCAATCATAGGGCAGGAGGAAAATTCAACTGGATAATCAGATTGCATTGTTGATAATTCAGATTACCACATAGTATTTAATAGTGGATGAGCATGGAATGTATAGCTTATGTGATAAACCAGTAGCGTGAGGTTTTGAAGGCACTGGTGAGCAATTTTTAAAATGTATTCATTGGAGGTCAGATGTAGGTTTCAGGGTTATTTAATTGGTTATGACTGCTTAGGCATAACACATTCGCAGGTTAGGGCTTCTGTGTTTCATATCATAACAGGTATGATACGGTGTATGAAATGGTACATTCAGTTTAGTGCAGTAGGTTGCAATTCCTACTTGCCACATGGCTCTGCTGAGCAGGAAAAATAATCCTAATTTACGAAGAAGCAGACTCAAACCCTGTTCTTATTAAAATATTAACTTAAAATTAAGAAATGAATATTAAACATGGATGACGAGTTCATCAGCGTTTCTCAGGCCTTTAGTGTTAAGTACCTTGCTATTCACCTCAACATGATCCCTTAGGAGTCCTCCTTAACCATCAGTTGATGGCAGGTCTCTGCAAACATTTTAGTTTATACAATGCATGAGTTGCTGCAAAAACACCATCATAACCATGACAACCCCTGCGTTTCAGAGCTTTTAGAGTATTTTCAGTGCATCTTATCCCGTATAGAAGTATATAATGAAGCTGAGGAGAAGGGAAATAATGCCTAGGCTGCTTCTCCTCATTCTGCACTTGTTAATGCAGCATTGATTGGCACAAACCCAGGTTCATAGTAATTCAGAAGCATTTCCAGTTAACCCACTTATTCCAAAGAACAGACCAGACAAACAAAGCTGTAAAATACGCTTTATTCTACAAGTAGGCATTTCAGATACATTTGTCCCTAAATGTTTCCACATCAATGACCGAGAGGAGAAAGAAAGTGCAGTACTATGGTTCATTCTAGTCTTATGACCAATCAGCTCTTTGATGCATCTGTTGAACATTTCAATAATGCAAATAACATTATGGCACTGACATCCAGATGGGTTATCCTATTAAATAGGTCAACTGCTCATCTGACAAGGTTAAATCACATGGTAAGCACTGTATAACAGGAACTGGACAAGCTGAACCCTTTTTAACGAAGTTGGAAAAAAAACAAATGGCAAAACCAAACAGCTGCCCAGCGTACTTGAGAATTCACGACCGAATTTTCATACAAGACTTTTAATAATATTGTTTCAAACATAGATTGAATGCAGTCATGTCAGTTTGTTCATTTATTCATGCATTTTTCCAACATTTCTTACACAGCATGTCTGTCTGGTGCTGCAAAGCTGACACAAATATATATATATATTTTTTATTATTTTGTGGGTATTTTGTTGATCTATATAATACCATATGGATCTTAATTCAACAAACAGATTGTGGAATATAAAGTAGACAAGCTGTCAGGAAGTAAAATAAAATATTAGGACCCCAAATTCCAATATGTAAAAGAAAAAGAAAAATCAACATGTATGAGAATAACCGACACATCCTCAATATTATATACTGTCATGTGATCTGTTCTGACCAATCAAATTAATTCCAAACTACTTCTTTGGTGTCCTTTCGCCCGAACATAATCTGCAAATTCGGAAAAGCAGTCCGTCGTGCAACACCTAAGGAACAGAAACATAAAAGGCAATAGTGCGTCTTTTTTCCTCTGTGACAAAAGCAACAAAGCTATGATTACACAGAACACAAGGCCAGCTCTGTGCTTTCCATTAAACTCCACAGAGAAAGAGAGAGAGGAGGCCAGTTCCCCCTCTTTAACTGCAGGGAGCTTCACGTAAGCTCATCTGCTTCAATACTGTATTCCCAACACATTATTTTTTTTCCTGAACACCTTGGGAAGACTGCCAAATTAATAAAAAAAAATTAGTTTAAATCTTTAAGCAGAAAACTATATTTGCCAAAGTCATTATCATTTGGTGCTAGCAAGTGATCTTTTCGGGCTTTGGCAAGTCTCATCAATAGGAATTCTCTTCGGTCCTTCCACTCCTTTAGCTCTTCCTCTCCGTGGGCTAGTTTACACAGCTCCCCGTCCGGGCACGAGCCCTTCTGGAACCTGGATGGAGCGAGAAGCATGTCATCAACATCAACATCAACATCAACATCAACATCAACAACATCAACAACATCAACAACATCAACAACACTGCTATGGATTCGGCAGATTTAAATTTAACTGACCGTTCACAGACTTTGAAGGTTCCTGTCGGAAAGCGATACTGCCAGCAGTTCTGATCATCCTCAGAGTTGAACAAGCGATCCTTATGTTTCTCTGAAGTAATATGCTGCTGCCACTGTTTGTCGCTGTTACAGTTCTTCCCACACAACCAACAGTGATTGCCGGCCTGGCAAAAAAATATAATGAATTAATAAAAACAAAGAAAGAAAACACATTGGTAAAATCTGTGGGAAGACAGAGAGTACACTAATTTAGCCCTTACTAAAATGTCTAGTATTACACTTATGCTATGTTTTTTTTCTGTATAATATCTATTTCATACTAAGTATCAGTACTGACTTTTGTTTTGGGCAGTGTCTCAGCTCAAGGTTATTTCAGACTCTAACCTATTTGTATTAGCTAAATACATTCTTTGAGTGGACAACAAAGCACTTTTGTATGCTGTTCTTGATAACAGCATCTGCTAACTGCCATAAAAGTTCGCTGAACATGTGACAGATGGATAATTCTGCAACTCTGTCTCACATTCTCTTTATGCTCTTTTAAGCCTTGGATGCACTATTTTGTGACTTTAAAAGTCTTAAGAGATTTTAAAAAATAGTGGGTGTCTCATGCTATCCGATTGGATTCTGCCAATTATTTTTCGGTTACTGAAACATTGAGGATCACACACCAAACCACGCAAAAACCAAACAAAAAGTTCATGCTGAAACAAACTCACTGAACTCCTGTTACTAAGAGATGCAAATTAACAAATGTGGGGCTGCTGCTTCCATACTGACACAGTAAAGAAGCAGCAGGCACACATATTGATGTCAGGATCATGGATGCACAGATGTGATCAGTGTGGCAGTTTTTAGAGTTACAGAGGTACATGCACTCAAATGTGCCTTTTTTTTTAATCTTGCTGTATTTTCTTCTTTCGCGCTCTCATTCGGTTTTCGTTGGCTGTTGGAGAAGCCCATTTAGACTGAGTCACTGACCAGTATACACTACCAGATTATGCTCAGTCAGGTAAAAAAAAAATCTAATGTCTGATACTTCCAATTGGTCTGAAACACCACAGGGAGGCAAAAATCTCTGGTTCCCTCACACACTACTTGACACTACTGTTGACTGCAACAACCTAAAAATCTGCAAACTAGAACCAACCGGCCCAGACTCAACCAGACTGAGAATTGGAGCTAAAATCAGGGTAAAAATCATTTAGTGTAAATCTGGCCTTAGGAACTTTCTGCAGAAAAGCAAACCCGGAATACAACTACCTGGAACATGGTCAAAGAGAGACTACAGCATTTTAGGCATGGCTGTAAAAGAGTTCAATATTAAAGGCTACTGGCTCTTTTTTTCCTGTTCTTTACTTATTATTTCCTTTATTATGGCCAACTGTTTTGTCTGAATGTGATTGTGCCCATGATTGCTGGAGGGTAAGTATTTCATTACAAAAACAGAAGCCTGGTACAAATAAGATTAATAACATAAGCAGCGTAAGGCAGTAAAGTCAAAGTGATGCAAATGTGCAGGAAATGGTGTCAGTTAAAAGCCTTGATGTAAAATGATAAGCATGTGGTGTGTGAGGTTCCATACCACTTCTTCTGCGTAGTCTGTGGGCATGTGAATCTGCTTCCCATTCTCCTTAGAAGCACTGTTGGAGCTCTGGTCACTAGAGCCTGGCTTCTGCGACTGCAGCCACAGCTCATAAAGCTGCTCCATGTCTGCAACTACACACACACACACACACACACACACACACACACACACACAAATTGTATACTTAAATTCTTCTTCTTTGGACGTCACTTGATAAAATTCAGTTTCTTGGCATTACATTAGTGTTTGTGAACTTACTATTGTTTTCTTTCATGTACGTCCAGAGCTCTTTTTCCTCTGCGCTGTGGGCAAAAGTGCAGTTCCCAATGTACTGGCACTTCTTGCCAGCAGCCACATGCATACAAATCTGATGATGGAAGAGGACAAGTCATGAGAAGAATATTAACTCATTATATGAGCTCCCAGGACAAAAAAAATTAGTTCTCTAATAATTGGTTAAGCATCCAACTGCCTCAATGACAGCACCCATCCTATCATGTAAAAATCACACCAGTCTCTTGACAATATTTCTGGCACAGATCTAGCATTAAAAAAATTACCCATTTACCTCAAACTGAGATGGGGCAGGCTTTCTTGTTGGGAGGGGACGAACATGTGTCCACTTCTTTCTTTCAACTGAACTAACCAAGACCACTTGCCTGTCTTTGGCCCACCTGGACAAAACGAGGCAAAAACCATGGCTTTTTAAGAAGAATATAACTATCTGCATTAGTATTTCTCATCACCCACTATAGCACACCAGAACAGTGGTGTCACAAGTGACAAAAAGAAGGCAAAACGCACACATGTCTGGCCTTAGCACTGCAGTACTTCTTGTACTTGTCAGGCTCACTGACTTGACCGTTTCTCCAGCACTGCCCACATACAAACTGCATCTTAAGGTTAGGAGGACCAAACTTCTTTAAGACAGGCGGCAGCTCCTGAGGGAACAACATATAGGAAGATTCAAATGCAAGCTGAAATAACAAAAACTGTAAATAAAACAAACAAAACTTTTTCAGTAACACTCACTGTAATAATCAACTCCTTTCAATATCATATCCATATGAATTCAAAGTGAATAAACACAACCTGGTTTCCAAAAAAGTTGGGACACTGTGCAAAAAAAAAAAAACAAACAGAATGCAATGATGTGCAAATGATTTAAACCCTATATTTAATTGGAAATAGTACAAAGGCAACATAATGGTAAAGTTGTGTAATGCTGGGGGGGGGTTAGGTCAGTAACATAACTGGGTAAAGAAAGAGCATCCAAGAGAGGCTGAGTCTTTCAGAAGTAAAGACAGGGGGGTTCAATAGCGTGACAATTCAAGAATAACACTGCTCAATCAATTTTTGGATTATCATCATCTACAGTACATATCATTAAAAGATTCAGAGAATCTGGAGAAATCTCTGTATGCAAGGGACAAGGCCAAAACCCAATATTGGCTGGCCATGATCTTTAGGCCCTCAGGCGGCACTGCATTAAAAACACACACAATTGTGTAGCGAAAATCACTGCTTGGGCTCAGAAACACTTCTGGTAACCATTGTCTGTGAACACAGGTCATCGCTGCATCCACAAACGCAAGTTAAAACTCTACCATGCAAAGCAGCAACCATATATAAATAGGAGCCAGAAACACCACCGCCTTCTCTGGGCCCAAGCTCAGAGTGTACTCTGGTCCGACAAATCTAAATTTGAAGTTATTTTTGGAAATCATGGACGCCGCATCCTCTGGGCTAAATGTTGTTGGCAAATTGGCATATTTTTAAAAAAAAACAATACATTTCTCAGTTTCATTATGATGTTGATATGATTTGAATATCATTGCAGTCTATTTTTAGTTATTTTTAGGGGATACAGCATCCCAACTTTTTTGGAAACAGGGTTGTACGTCCGTACGTAATTAAGCATGAATAAAAATACCTGTACTTGTGAGCTGGCCTCAATATTCCAATACTTATTAGCCTCCTGGACAATACTTTCATGGGTAATGCCTTAAAGAAAATGAGCAGAATTAATTTAGAAATTTTGAATACCTGCAACAGGCAGCTCTTTCTGGCAAATTCCACCAATGTAGCAGAGTTGTTGGCCTACCTTGTTCACGCTGCATCACCCACACTTTGAGCTCAATGAGGCTGTGGGCATAGAAACAGAAGTCCTCGCGCTGGCAGCCGTAGCGTGCCGCGTGCCTACAAAGATCTAGCTGACAGTTTGGATTGTATGGGCGGATTTTGGAGTACCTCAGGGTGTTCTCCTTCAAAATATGGACCAGGCACCTGACCAAACATTAAGGCAGTGTGTTAAGAATGCATTTCGGCTTCACAAAAAACAGCAGCTATCTGTTTGGATAATTCATGGCACATTTCACTGTCTGATTACCAAGCTGGTATTCATATTTACATCTATGAAAAGAGATGCTTACTTGTTTTCTTCAAACACATGCTTTGTCACTGAATGAGAGCAGAGACTGGGGTTGTCCTTATTGAGTTTGCTGATTATTCTGGGTTTGTGATCAAAGCACACCTAGAGACCACACACACTCATCAGACGTCTTTCCAACTTTGGAAATACAGCAAATAAGCAAATATTGTCAGTCATGCCAGCTGACGCACTGCACTCGTTCCAAATGTGTTACATGCTTTCATTGCAGTTTAGGCTTCATTCTATAATGTTAAAAAGCCAGTTGTTCAAATATTTTGCACATTACCAGTTAATTAATTGCAGCCAAATAATGCAGGCATCTGTGTATGAGTAACATGTATGATCTCACCTCACAGAGGAACATGAATATCCCATGGTGCTCCTGTAGAATTTTGGGGACAGTCAAATTGACCTTCATTCTGGCCCCATAAGGATCACACAGCAGGTCTCTAGAGATGAAGCCCTTGCGCTCCAGGGTCCAGACATCAATCTCCTCTTGGCAATAAGCAAATGTACAGTGGCCACGGTACTTGCATTCTTCTCCATTAGCTACATCTGCATATGAAATTGGACCATTTGAATGTTTAGCAAAACAGGCCAGAAAATAAAAGGTATTACAAAGAACCTAGCAGAAGTACATTAACCATTTATATACTGTATGTAGCTTATTTCTTAAGCATCTATGCACACTACTTATTCCACACATCTGTAATATGCAGAAGGTCTAGTTATTCTGGCATAGAACGTGATAGAGGTGATGTGTTCTTTCTAGAGTGATTTGTGCACTACGCTTATATATCACAACATGAATCACTATTCTATTATCTAATGGTCCGTTCATTATTTAGGAACTGTAAGTAATGAAGTGGTTCATTCCATACCAACATGTCATGGATTTTCTTGAAAACTTTGTGAAATCATGTGAAAACTTTTATTAAATTAAAGCGATGCAAAATCCTACAGCTCTACTTCAAGTACTTCTTTAGTTGTGAATCTTTGAAGTCTGGCACTTTATCATTTTTGCAATTCTCTGTCTGTGCACTCTAAGCCTCACAGATTGCTTATTATTCGATTGGGTTAAAATTTATACTGAACATCCAAGAATCCACAGTATATATATTTAGATCAGTGGCACAACAGAGCTGAAAACACTCACATTTGTATTAGTGTTTATTAAACATATAAAAAAATTAAATATTACTCCATCATTTAATCATTTATTAAAAACAACTAATTTTTCATACTTTTCCCTGGCTGTAATATAACATTGTGATTTTATTTCATAGGTAGAAATTTGTACTATGTAGACTTCAAGGTTTTCTATCCTTCTGTGACCTACTTAGCCTGTGTTTAACTGGGTTCAGGAAATCTGCAAGTCACAGCTTGTAACAGCCTGATTTGTTGCATACTAGATGATGTCATCTTGTTCCGTGTGTGTGTGGACAATTTTAGTTATACGCAGGAAAAGAGGGTACATTCCTTGTGCTATAGTTAGGGAACTTCCCACACTGGCCAAACTTCTCATTGTCAGATGCAAGTGTAACACAACAGGGTGCACTATCACTATTACACTGGTACTTAACGATGCTAACAACTACAGTTGAGTAATTCAGTCCCTACTAAATTAAAACTGAAAAGATACTACACTAACGATACACCATATGAATTTTTTTTTACAATTTTTACATCCTTAGTACACTATACTAACGACATGCGCATGCTTGGTAGGTGCGCTCCATGGGTTGGGTAGGCTAAGCTGTTAACAAACTTGATTGTAGACTTATTTATGAAACAGTGTGGCAGTTCTAGCAAATAAACAAACACTGGTCCCATCTTTTCTCTCTAACTTTTCAATTCTAAAAATTCTCTGGCAACATCGCTTACAGCAGCTTACAATGCTGTTCATTGTTCATTTAGGTTACCCACAAAGCTATCGAACGCTATGTTTATCAGTTACAACAACAAGCATTAATGAGTGGTTAAACTATAAGGTTTAACTTATTCTGTCTAAATTAAGGGGAAAAAAAAAAACAAAAAAACGGCTGATAGGTTGGATTTTTAAATCCTTAAATATCAAAGTCAGTAACGGTTGGGCTCTAATACATGCGGCAAATTATCCTTAGGGTTTCTTGGATGTTCAGTATAAATTTCAAAACAATACAATGAATGTACATGATTTTTTAAAGATTTTTTGTCAAGAAAATCTATGACATGAACTGGGAGGGCTAGGTGAGTTGGTATGGAATGACCCAAGTGCATCTTATTGCTGAAGGTGTTTTGTGGACAGGAGTTTTCATGAGAGACTTGCAGGGAAAGTTTATTAATGCCTTTCTTCGGATATCCACTAGTTTCACTTTTTAAACCACTGAAGGCAAGACTTAAGCTACATTCACATTACAAGCCTCATTGCTCAAATCTGATGTCTGACAACGGTTCACACTTGTTTAGGTGATCGAAATCTGTCACTAATGTGAACGAACCAGCATCCTCAAATGACCTGCATGCGCACATCCTACTCAGTAACGTCTGAAAACATTAAATCTGAGTCACATTAAATTCTGATTTGTGCCACTTTAACCTGGTAATGTGAACATAGCCATATATATATATATATATATATATATATATATACACACACACACACACACACACACATACTATATATATATATATAGTATATTTAAAAAAAAATAAAGTAGTAGTAGCGCTGGGGTTCAATGGAGTTCTCTGGTCACCAGGGCAGTTTTCTTTTGGCTTTTATCCTGTAGTTAGGATTCAAGCATGCAGTATGTACACCACTACTGCAATTGCTTCAAAAATCATGACTTTCGTAAGCAATATGGCTGCCATATGCTAAAAACCCTCCAGAAAAAAAAACATAATTAATAAAAAAAATTCTGTAAGCCGAGCATGCTTTATCCAAAACATTAGAAACTTCACATATTTCTTCAAGAGTGCATTCTAAAGTAGTCTGTCAATTGTGGTGCATGTACATGCTTAGAGGGCATTCTAACTGCTAAATAACTTTCTCAGCATCCATACATCCGATCAAGCTGAAATTCTGTGTGCTGCATCTTACAGATTAACTATAAGAGATTTCTTAACGACAACTTGATACATCAAAATTTATGGCTGATAAATTAGCTATCTTCTATTTTATTATGAATTATTTTGCAATAATTACCTGTTTGAAAACCATACTTCTCAAACTAATCCCTCGATTTTGATTCTCACTTTTTAAATTTGGTCTTGAAGTACTCTGGGGCTGATTTTCTGTTTACTCATTATGTAATTATCAATTAATCATTAAGGCCATGGCATTTCTAGCATAAACTGCTATAACTCATCAGCAATTAGCCTGATTATTTAAAACTAGAAACATATTTATAAACTGACACCCTGATGAGGTGTGCAAAGTTTGGCCCAGTCATTACGATAAAATTATCTGCTCCACAGACAGACTGTATGTGCTGTTCAATTCAGTCCTCAGACCTGAATGGCTTATTCATTCAAAGACTGCAGCTTATTATACCAAGGTCAGAAGGTCAATCTGAACAAAACTCTAAACATCTTTGCTGAAGGCCCCTGGTGAATAAAAATAACATATGCAGACCTTTTGACAAATTCTGACTCACTTTCACTTAGCTCCTGTATGCCAAAAAGGCCCCTTATGGGCACATTGGGCCTCATTATCAACAATTATGGCAAATTTAGGTTTCTTAATAAACTCTGACTTTATTGCATTTCTTTCCCTCTTTCTATAAATAAGGTCCAAACAGGCTTAAGCCTTGTGAGGCCTCACTGGTCAAATGGCAGAAGGCCTCACTGGTCAAATGGCAGAAGGCCTCACTGTGCCAATTCGTGCTTGAACCCGCATATATATTTTGATGTAATTTTCACTAAGGTTCAAAAGGTATACAAATAGTCCAAAAGCCCAAGTTCACTGACGGTCTCACAGTTCAGAATTTTAGGGCACAGTTTAGAGTTTAGAATAATAAGGTTCTGGTTTTGACAAAAATGTCAGCCGAGTTAATCATTGTTGCCGTGGTGTTTAATAGAATTATTATACAGGTCTATCTGCAGTTAAATGAATGTGGCTGACAAACACAGGAAAGCCCATTAAAAGGAATCCTATGTCTCCAAATTTAGCAATAGGCTGCTTAGAAGGCTTAATAGTTTGACTATGATCATTGCTCACAAACCACTAGTTAAATAAGCTCCACAAGTGAGCTTATTTCACCACAAGTGAAATAAGCTTTTAGGCTTTAGTAGGAAATCATATCGGCAAAAGGTAAGTCAACAAGGTTGTAACACTGACAACTGACCAAAAAATTTAAAAGAAGCTTTTTTCTCCTCCAAGTCAGAAGTGAGCGACACCCAGTGCTAGTCAAATTGGAAGCCAGCTAGCTAAATCATCATTTTTACAAAACAGTATCTCAAGGCAATGACTTTACTCAGATGTGAATGTTAATTTAACTACACAAGAGTTGTGCCATGTTGAAAGTGAAATCTTTGATCCCCAGTATCTCACAATGCCTCTGAATGCAGACAGAACTATATATTTCTAACCCCACGAGCTGTTACTGCTTTAACATTAGGTACCTTTTCACAGCTAATCACATGCAAATGTCAGCCAAAGACATAATTCACTTTCCACAACTGAATATGCTGTATTCTATGACACTGCTAAGAGAGGTAGCAGAAAAAAAACTAAAGCTTCTTTCAGCAAAGTTCTTGTGCACACATGCAACTACTCTAAACTGGCACTTCATGTGCAAAATTTTGATAAGATAAAATGACTAACAAGGTAAAATCTGCAGGGTGCTCCTGAGAAGACAACAGGTTCAAGGTCATTGCTAAGAGCTTTATGGAAACTAAAGGGCAATTTCTAAGGCAAAAAGCATAAGAAAGAATTTGCCCTCGATGCTCAACGGTAAGTCCAGAGTCAGTTGTGTAGCAACATGCCTGCGCATTTTGATCTATGTTAAAATATTTTAATTTGCTGCCCAAACTTCTTTTTAAATAAAAGTTTGAGATTCCTGTATGCCAAAAATTGCACAGTTATGTGATGTATGCCGCAATCATTTTACTGTTTAACTAGTTGCTATTTTTATTTGAAAATGGTTTCAGGCACATAAACATTTGGTCACACAGCGGTAAGATTTTGCCCATTTCAAATGAGTTTGTTGCAATGTTTGATCGCTAAACCAACTTAAACCATATTTGCTGTTTATGTGTCCCATCCCTAATTGGAATCCCATTTATGTTATGGATAACTGGCAATCAGTACTGACCTCACAAAATGCTCATCCATCTCTAGTATATCTTTAGGTGCCAAAAGTAACAAATTGTTTTAAATCACTGCTCTGCATCATCTTAACAGAGCTAGGTAATAATTTCAGCACTGGTTTGGCTTAGGCCTTTTCAGTGTATGACCTGGGGATAGCAGCCAACTATACATCTTACTGTACTATCATCAACCCAGTATCATGGCACAACTTAACATGTTTGGAGAATTAAACTGAGAAGGTCTGAACTGACAACCAAAAAAAACGACCATGAATGACTTGCATCACCCTCTATAGACACAAAGGCCCAATCCCATTTCACCCCTTGCCCCTGCCACTTAGCCCTTAGCTTTCTGTTTTGCACGTTCACGTCTAGGATTAGGGTGTCCCAATTTTTGTTGAGTTAGAGAGGAAGGGCGAAGTGTTAGGGATACATGGCCCTCCAAATGGAGGTTTTTCAGAGGTACACTCCAAACGGAGTGTTCTGAGAAAAAAGAAAAACCGGCAAGATGGCTGCGCGAGAGACCCAAGAAACCTACAAATGTGAGTCTTTTCTCTGGTAAAAAGTTACGATAACCATTGCATTATCTTAATTTAATGTCGTTTTAATGTATTATGGTCGTTTTCTTCATAACAAACATTAAAAAAAAATAAATAAATAAAATCGCTGATAGCATGCTAATGTCTCGGTAGCTAGCTAGCTAACTTTCCCGTTCCACCTTAAATAGTCCAGCAGTTCTGACGCCTGAAGCGCCAGAATGTAACTGCTGCACCATTTAAGGTGAAAAGTTGAACAAGAAGCTGGCAAATAACTGACTTCAGCTTCGTATCATTAAAGAATTTGCGGTGGGAGATAATATATAATTATTTATATCCCCTCTTTGAAATCATATGATGCCCTAAATGTAACTAAAGCCCAGCAGTGAGGTTGCTGAACTTTTCTCTTCTCTGCTGATCACTGAAGATGGGCTGGGTTGCCTACAGAGCACCGTTAGTAGCCTATTAATGAAGCAATGTTTTTTTTTTTTTTTTTTTAATTTGTTAATTTGGGTCAAGATTTCAACCACTACCCCTTGTAACTCAGTTCCAAGAGGTTCGGGTGACACTCAAAAACAAGGCGTAGGGGTAAAAAGAAGAAATGGGATTGGGCCGAAGGCTACATTCACATTACAAGCCTGTTGCACCATTGTGTTTTTTTTTCCTTGGATTCAATCTTTCTGCTTTGATAGTTCACATTCACATGGTAAAAACTAAAATAAATAAATTTAAAAAAAAAAGTTGTTCTCACCTTTGCAAATATAATATGGCCCCACATACTGGTTTTTGGTGGGCCTAGGTCGAATCAGTTTCCATGTAGGGTTATCTGAATGTTTGATTCTCCCAAGCAACAGGTCCTTTTTACATTTGTGGTCCTCAGGATGATAGGTGTAATCTAGTACTCCAGGACCTGCAGGCACACAATAGCCATGTAATGTGGAGAGCACGACATGCAAATCACTGCAAACCAGTGATCTGGTCATAAAGTCATGCAAAGCAATGTTGCTCGACAACTGCACAGTTCTCTTACCAATTCTGAAGCACGTAGAGCAGGCTTGTTTAAACTCATGAGTGTCGGCAAGAGGATTTTTGGCTAAGTCCACTTGCTGTGTAAGATCCTGGGTATAACTGCTGCCATCCGGCATGCCAAAGGCCATTCCCATGGGCGGCAAGGAAGGCAAGGTTCTTTCATTGTTTCCCATCTGAATGTGAGAACATTAAAATTACATTCCAATGTCAAAAGAGACTTTAAACAATAAAATTTCTTAGAAATTGTATGTGGAAAAAAAAGAAAGTTACCATGAAAGTATGCTGGCCAAAACCTGTTCCCACGAGTGGTATTTCTGAATAATTTGGAATAAAGAACAAGCAATTTTAAAACATCAATAAAGCCATTTAAGTACGGTAAATATGCAAAGCGGACCATTTTACATTTCACAGGGCTTTAGCAAGAGCTTAAAAAAAAAGATCATATGCACAGTTACTTCAACATTTTACCCCCTCAAACGAATAACATAATCGAGAGTACTCAAGAAAGAAACCAGCACACCTGGCTGAGATTCTGAAATAGACAAGCTGTCCAGTGAATCCAGCGGAGAGGTGAAAGAGTCCAGGCCGAGGGAGTAGCCTGAGGAGACTGGCTTGTTATACGGTGCAGGCAGATTCACTGTGCACTGAGGTGTCACAAGCATTGAATGGCTTAGGTGGGGGGGTAAGTGAAGAGAAGCAGACAAGGAACTCGCAGTGGCAATACTGGTAGGTAAAGGAAGAGGACCCGTCACTGTAGGAATCACCTTATGTGGAGACAGAAAACAAAAAACAGCAACAACGACACAGTCAATGTGGTAATACAACTGACCTTTAACAAGCAAGGTAATAATGCCATCTTGAAAACAGGAATATTAATATTTTTTCAAACTTTTCATGGAGATAGCATGGTCCAACTTTGGAATTATAAAGTCCAGTGCCATGCTACATTCATTCCACCCGTCTGAATTGAGGAATATGAAGTTTCACCCCTTATTTGAGCTTAACAAGCTCAAGCAAAAGGTATAAGATGAGCCCTTAAAGAGGAGAGTGAATGCACGAACACTGTCAACTTCAGCAGCAGAATATGCCCAGAAGTCATTGCAACCTGACGCATTTCCCATGGCAGACAAAGCTGTTCACAAGCCTTAGCAATTGACTACTTCAACATGCTTAATTTTCAAAAACCTTTCACAACTCAATTCACTGGGTTTTAAGTTATAAACTACCCCGCCTGTTATACAAGACTGATGATACAACTTCATCATTTACTTCTACTAGCTGGCTCATTACCATGCTGAATCCTACCCGGCTAAAAACAACAAATACAAAAGTACTACACCGCAGTTCTACACCAAGGTTATAGCCAGACAGAGCTATTACTCACATACGTTATGTATGTTATGCTCAAGTTTGCATGCCCAGCCTATTAGCTCACTCAGGCTAATCTGCAGAGGGCGAGTGCGTTCCATTTGATTAACCTGCTCCTCCCTGTCCCCTCCTCCCCTTTTGGCCACTTTAACACTGGTTTGACACATCCATTTGGTGAGTCAAAATGGGTCAGAGCGAGTTAAAGAAAAGAACGGAAACAGGGCCTTAGTTTAGAAACTTACCTCAGAAGAGTCAGCAGGAGCTGCACTGTCTAGCAGTTCATCCAGGTCGTCGCCAATAATCTCTGCATTAAAGTCTAATTGCGGCTCTGGTGCTGGGTAAGGCTCACTGGGTCTGGATCCATTCACCAAAGGCATATGTATAGTCAAAGGAACAGGCTCAGGGTTATGTGGCTCCATAGGGGGTACAGCGGACATGACTGTGACAGGGGCAGGCTGAGGCTCCACTTCTACTTTCTCACAAACAGGGGGACACACTGGCATGCTTACAGGCAACGAAGCAGCAATGCCCTGGTTAGACTGGCTCTCATCTGAGAAACAAAAGAAGGTTGAGTGAACAACTTCAGTGTCGTCAGTGGCCAGAAACAAATCATCCCAATATAACCTAGTTTACCTGTTTCAATGTCTTCCACTGAAGCAGAGATCTGTGAATACTTTTAAAAACAAAAAAGATAATGAGTAAATTAAAGCTCGCTTTTACAAAACTTAACACCAACTTAAAAAAAAACAAACATACTACCTTTTCATTTGCTGCACCTGATATACTTGAGCCAGACAACACATTTAAGGCAGGCTGTTGAAAGAAAAACAAAACTTCTATAAAATAATAAGCTCAGCAGCTTGTGCAATCAACCATACAAGGTTGTTTAGAAAGAGTACAACTGCAAACATACCACAGAGATTAAGGCCTATTCTAATTTAGGAATGTAACACAGAAAAAGATATATAGTTTAAGAAAATACTTTACCCAGTGAATAAATGCATAGCATACCTTGCCTCTGACATAAGCTTTACGTATCTTCAGTCCCAACATTTTGGCAAGCTCCTGAGTCAACTGAATTACACTGGCATCCTATAAATTATAACAGAGGAACGCTGTAATCTGAATCTGGAAAACAAAAGACATTTTCATAAATGCTCAAGGAAGGTCAAGTAAATGGACTAACCTGAGGCACTGCCAAAGAACACTTAGCGACAGCCTCATAGGCCTCCTGATGCCTCCCCATTTCCTTCAGGGACCTGGCTTTCCGATACAGTGCTCTGTGGTTATTATCATTCAGCTGAAGAGCTTTTTCACAGTCGTCCAAGGCTTGGTCATGCAGGCCCTACTCCACAACAGCAAAAGCACAGTGTTTCAACATCTACATGCTAACAGAAAAGAAAATCTAAAAATGGCTAAATTTTGTATAGACAGCACAGTATGTACTCACAATATTTAAGTATGATGCAGCACGATTAGCGTACAGCTTCTCTCTAATTGCACAAACTATGCTGATTTCTTCTGAATCTGCATACTCTGCTATGTTTAAGGCCTCAGTATACAGCTCAACAGATCGTGCCCATTCGCCTTCATGAAACACATCGTTTCCCTCCCCAAACAGGTTCTTCACCAGGTCCTGAATGAATATCTACAACAAACAGGAGTCATACATCTACAACAAACAGGAATCAATACATTAACTTCCTAATGATGTAAATAAAAGCAGCTAACCTCATACTGTTCTTGAGAGCCAGGGAAAGGCAGGGTGGACCTACAAACAGAAAAGGTGAGATTTAGAGTCTGTTCAGAGGCACTGAATTCCACATGAAAAATTAGGTTCAGGACTATTTGGACAGTAACATATTTCTGTGCTGTTTTGGTTCCATAGCACTGCTGGTAGATCACAGCATCAGGTTTCAGATATCAGATAAGGTCTCATGTCTCAGGAAAAACAGGAGTAAAGTCAAGTCTCAGCTCTCGTACATCACGTGAAACGGGCCATTTTAAACAGCCTCAAGTAAAATAGTTTCAAAGAAGAATGTAAAGGGCTAAGCAACAAACTCTCAAATGGTAAAGTTCATGTGACATTAGCAATTCTGTTCTTTGTTACTTCTCATCACTGTGTTCGCTCCAGTATAAGGGATTGTCGCAAAATTACCAGACAAAAAAAAGGTAAAGCAAGGAGAAAAATACCCTGAAGCCCAGCTTAAGCATTTACCATGGTTATTTTCCACAGAGCTATCTGAATACCTCGACTCTCTTGCCAGCACAGGCCTACTGATAACAATGAGTAGTTTTATGATTGTTATACATGAATTTCTGTTCTTTGCATTTAAGGAAACCTTACAGTCAACACAATTTAGAAGTCATTTTGTGTTTCTGAGTGACACATGGTATCAGGGAAGGCCTCTTAGCTAGCTGAATGCTTGATGATAGGTGGGGGTGGTGGAAGTGGGAGGTGAAATATGATATTCGATTAATATTTTTTCTACCCACTGATGAAAGGTAACGTCATAAAAAATAAATCATAAGACTTTAGAAACATGTAAAAGCCATTATATTTTGATATTATGGAATAACACAAATTCTGTTTTTTTTTTTTAATGATAGCGATGAGGACCATGAACTAGATCCAACTAGACCATGATTTTAGATCCAACATGCGCAGAGGCTGATGATGCTTTTCTAGGCCTATACTGCAGCCTTTTTAAGTTTCTGCTTATTTCCAGGGCTTTGCTGTGTTCTACGTGTTTTCAGCAATCATTTGTATAATAACTCATTTATTCATTCATTTCAAGTAGTTCATCATCCACAGCAAACAGGGAAAGAGATATGCTGTGCCTGTAACACATGCCACATTCCCACTGACCCACTTAGCAAAAAATCAGTTATATGAATTCATTTTGTTGCCAAGTGTTACTACTTTGTCACTGCGGTGAAACGAGTCCTGTGACAACATTTTCCAAAAGAAAAACATTCAAATTTTAAAATTAAAAACACAAACATTGCCCAAACAACACAGAGGTAGAAAAAAACCTCACTGGATAAACTGGAGACCTTTCTCAATGTCTTGCCATCGGCTGCTTCGGTCCTGACACACGCTCGACATGCTCCCTTGCGCATCGAGGACTGCAGTTCAAACCTGAGACACAGGAAACAGAAAATGTCTTTTTGAGAGTTCCTTCAAAAAAACATCTCTCTATTCACTGAAAACTGAATGTATAACCTACACTCCATGTACCAAGTGTTGACCCATGTTCAGGTAGACTGTGCTACCTTGTTGAAATGTTCTACCATAGGGCATATATATAGGTAGTACACTACGTGAAACTGATACTAACAACATTGAAACGTAGACACAGGACATCTTGATAGCCTAAATCACCCTATAAGAAAAAACTGCCCACGTTAAAGGAATAATTACAAAAATTTGATAGCCTAAACCACTGTAACAGAAAATATTAGCAGCATTATAAGAATGATTATGGTATTTCGATAGCCTAAATCACCTTTTCAGAAAACGTTAGCAGCTTTAAAAGAATAATTGGGATACTGATAGCCTAAATTACCTTCTCCGGGGTTAGTGGGAACGTTAATATTAAGCTGAGTCTTTTCTGAATTACCATTAAAACACTAGTTTCTGCGCTATGCTACTGATACGCACATACTCGGCAGGACAAATCGTTGGAATACCGGCTAACTTGCGTTATCTTCGCAGCTATTGTTCAACAGACTTCCTGTTGCACCTACCTTACGTGATGCGTTTGCAGTGTGGAGAAAGCTGGCTAAACAAGTTGGTGGCCCTTCTTCATCCACCAAGCACACCTCCGAATATCTACACAGCGATTCTGAGTGCAATTTAACACTGTTATAGATTCACCCAAATTCTTCCCGAAATCAGCTATCGAGACTAATAACGATGTTCCGGGAATGCTGTAAAGATTCCAGGGAAATTTCCACTTCACCACAGAAGGTGATGGATGGTGAAGTGAAATGTTGTGACCGTAGCCCAACTAGCTGACTAGCTAGCAAATACCTGTTCGTTGGCTAATGCTGCTAGAGAAAAACACAACCATGCGGCGCTAGAAGGAGTGGTTCTTGTAGCTTTTCTTCAGAGTGACTTCATAACATTAGGAAGGAAGAACACTGAAATTGCAGTGATACGCAGTGACACAGCTCTGCCCTGTTCGCTGCTGTATTAGCTTAGCACAAGGTAAGCAGCTAATGCTAACCGTTGCTAGCAGGCTTTTACCGCGCGGAGCGACAACGCAGCTAGTTGGCGTTACAGCAGCCTCTCTCGCTGAATTACTGAGTAGGTTAGGATGCCTGTTAATGTTCAACCGCACCGGATTCTCAGTCATTGTGTTATTTTGATTGTTGACTCACCTTTGCGGAGCCCCTCAACGGGAAAAAATATAAAAAACGAGCCACTTTATAACTGAACTTAAACACTGCCCCACTCTCCCCGGTTCAGGCAGCGTGATCTGCTGCTACGTGTGACGTTTGGTTCTCTTAGTGTGATGTGATGGTCTTCAGTCTTCAGAGAGAATGGAAAGAGCGCCCCCTGCTGAACACAGCCGAGAACGACCACTGCGGCTTTACAGCCAACTGACAGCTGGAGCGATACGATAAAATCGTGTTATCAAGTTGGTGCATTTATTAGCGACGTACACAATGTCATTTCGGCTCTGCTCAGGGTGTCGCACACATATATCTGCTCATGGACGAAATGCAAAAATACCCCAAATTATGTTTTACAGTAAACTAGAGAACACTGCAACCTATGAAAACATATCAAAATAAAAAGTAGTTTTTAGGATTAATAATGTAAATATGTCCATTCCTACGTATGTCCATTCTGTCACATGATGTAGGAAGAAAAAGGAAGTCGCCTTGCTGTAAAAGAGACCGTGAGGCTCGAGCATTAAAAAACACTACTACAGAATTATCAGTCTACATCCTGCTTTCTTTACAAGTCAAGAGTGATCCAACCACCTTATATCGAAGCCCATATTTACAATAACAACAACAACAACAATAATAATAATAATAATAAAATTAATAATAATAATGATAATAACAATAATAATAATAAGAAGAAGAAGAACAACAACAACATCAACTTTATACTGTAGTGATGACATCAGTGGTTCAGGTGTTCTCACCTGAATAAAGCCTATGGTGGAGAAACAGATTAAATTTGTGGAGAAGCAGCATGCCAGCTATGACAGAGGAATATCATCCTTACAGACTGTGTAAACTATTTTGAATACTTAATAAATATTTATTGTTTACTATATTCACAGACAGATCAGCATTTCAGACACAAAGACTCATCATCACATTCCCAACCTCAGTTTTTCCTAACAGTACTGGCAAATAACTTTAGGACTGTTAGACTGTTCTTCAACAGGGGGCGCTAGCGGGGCAGTGGCTAATGAGATCTTTTGAGAGAAATGTATTTGCAAAAAAATCTGAAGTAATAGAGAATAATTACATGCAATAGCTTTTTCTAAAAGACCATGAAATACAAATGACAATATAAGAAAGGAACAATGCCCTGTTAGAAAAACCAGCATAGACCATCATGGCTGGTCACCAGCAAAACCAGCGCATGTTGTGTTTTGTTGCTGGGATGCTGGTCAACCAGCATGACCATGCTGGGCTGAACAGCTAAACCAGAACCAGACCAACACTAGACCAGCATGACCAGCATAGACCAACATGAAATGCTTGTCTGTGCTGTTTTTTTCAGCAGGGTCTGCACACTGGCTCTGCAAAACAGGCCTAAGCAACTGACAACAATGAGTTGTCTATTACAGAGGCCATTTCATGGAAAACATTTTTTCTTGTATTGTTGACATTTGAAAAGTTTTACTATGTAAACCTGTAAAAATGTACCTTTCACTCCTACTGGGCTGAGTGGCTTTGTACATGGGTTGCTACGGGTTCCAGTTGGGCTACCCAGAACAACACACATGCTTAAACTGGACATCCCATAAAATCTTTCTATATGTGGGGCTCATATGGCCCTTTGTGGGCTTGTTTCAATCTATAGATACTTTGTGTTTCTGGTGAAAATAATAAATAATAAATAATAATGGTGAAAATAATAAATAATAAATAATAAATATCACTCCACCTTTAGTGGTTTTTATATTGTGTTTTTACTAATGATGACAGTGAATGCAACCCAGAAACATTAAATAGGCTTAAACATAGGTTTAATCTTGACCCTAATCTGAGGTCTATTTTGTGTTTTTAAGATCTGAGTGTAGACTATTCCTAATGAATACCTCAAGAAATGTGGTTTAAATACATTTTATGAAATCTCTCATTCCAGGCAGACCCATTGTATAATAATTCCCTCTCCATTTTTTTTTAAACATATAAAACATTTATGTACATACTCTGGTTAACATAGTTAACTTCTTCACTTTATGTTTGAATAGTACCTTGGTTTATTTACTCAGACTCAGCATCACTAACTTTGTCTTTTGAGAAAAAAATATGAATTTGTTTTTAGAAGGTAATTTAATTAGAACTTGTGTGCTGTGACTATTTTCCCCACTCCACCCCCAAGGCAAATTACATTTACATTTACAGTTACAGCATTTAGCAGACGCTCTTATCCAGAGCGACTTACAAAAAGTGCTTTGTCTATCCAGAGAAAGTATCTTTGCTAGTTACCAATAGGTTAGAGAGAAAGCCAGTCCTGAGCTCAGATACTGCTAGAAACAAAAGTCCATATTGATACCTAGAGAAAAAGGAACAGAGTTAAACACAGAGCAGTGCAATACAATACATTACATAAGTGCAGTACAATACATTACAATAAATAATTAATTCAGTGCTCATATAAGTGCTGTATAAAGAGATGTGTCTTCAGTCTGCGTTTGAAGACAGCGAGAGACTCTGCTGTTCGGACAGCCAGTGGGAGTTCGTTCCACCACCTGGGTGCCAGCACAGAGAACAGTCTTGATGCTTGTCTTCCGCGCGCCTTGAAGGATGGCGGGTCAAGCCGAGCTGTGGTCGAAGCTCGCAGGGCTCGTGGTACAGTTCGGGATTTCACCATTGCCATCAGGTAGGGAGGGGCTGGTCCATTTTTGGCTTTGCAGGCAAGCATTAGGGTTTTAAATCTGATGCGTGCAGCTACAGGAAGCCAGTGAAGGGAGCGCAGCAGTGGGGTGACGTGGCTGAATTTGGGGAGATTGAAGACGAGTTGCAGAGGCTTGATGGCCTGCATGGGAAGACCAGCCAAGAGCAAGTTGCAGTAGTGAAGCCTTGAGATGACAAGAGACTGCACTAGCACCTGGGTGGCCTCACGAGTGAGAAAGGGTCGGATCCTCCGGATGTTGTACAGGAGAAATGTGCATGACCGAGTTAGGTTCGCAATGTGTGTCGAGAACGATAACTGGCCGTTCAGAACCACACCAAGACTTGACTTGCCTCTACAGGCGGGACAATCAGAGAGTTCTCGAATGAGATGGCAAGATCATGATGAGGACTTGTAGTTGCAGGGATGAACAGCAGCTCAGTCTTGCTAGGATTGAGCTTCAGGTGGTGAGCTGTCATCCATGCAGAGATGTCAGATAGACATGCCGAGATCCGACTGGAAACCTGTGTGTCAGAGGGTGAGAAAGAAAACATTAGTTGAGTGTCATCAGCAAATGAAGTTAACATATTTTCCTGCCTTAATTCATCTTATTGTTAGACAGACAAGAAGCAGGTTTAAATAGCAGACAAACAGTAGAGAGCATTGATTAGTAATATATTTGAAAAAGCATGTTTACATATATTTATATTTGTGATGTGTAAATTTAGTCTAATGAGCACCTCTATGTCTAATCTCGCACTGTCGTGCAAAACTCTATATTTCTCATGCATTTTTATTTGTCTTGTATGAGCCTTCACTGAGCACATACCAAACGGATGAGAGTGGAATTAAAAAAAAAAAAGGTAAATAACAAGACCAATTATACTTTTAGATATTATATTTCACTTGAAATCAATGGTTTATATTAAATAGATATATGTAGTGTTGATTGGGAAAAAGATCTGATTTGAGCATGGCAAAGATTTGATTCTGAAACTTTTCTTATAATATTTCAAATGGAATATTCGTGGCTGTATGTACAGACATTTAAAGTAGCTGTTTTCTTTAAAAATCAAATGGCTCTCATGAAATGACTCTGAAAATGAATTTAAAAGGTTTTGCATTAAACATTTCTATGTAATGGCAATGGCTGCCAGCTAAAACTGTATCTAGGACCTACAGTAGTGAGTATAAAGAGTAACACTAGTGTGCAATGAGCACACATAGTGAGCACGTAAAATACAACCCCAATTCTAAAAAAAGTTGGGATGTTGTGTAAAATGTAAATGAATGTAAATAAAAACAGAATTCAATGATTTGCAAATCTCATAGACCCATATTTTATTCACAATAGAACATAGAACACATATCAGATGTTGAAAGTGAGACATTTTACCATTTCATGAAAAACATTGCAGACTAGCTAAATAATGGCTAAAAACCCTTAAAAGCCCATAGCCAGGCAATCTCGATAGACAAACACTGGCAGTAGAATGGGTCATACTGAAGAGCTCAGTGACTTGGCACTGTTATAGGATAACACCTTTGCCTCAAGTCAGTTTGTGAAATATCTGTCCTTCTTGATTGGCCCCAGTCAACTGTAATTGCTATTATTGTGAAATGGAACTGTCTAGAAGCAACAACAGTTCAGCCACACAGCAGCAGACCATGCAGACACACAGAGCGAGGCCACCAAGTGCTAAAGCACACAGCGCCTATCCTTTGTTGAAAGGGAACTTCATGAAATGGCTTTCTGTGGTCAAGCAGCTACACACAAGCCTTAGATCAAAACGTGCGATTCCAGGCATCAGTTGAAGTGGTGTAATGCATGCCACCTTGGACTCTGCAGCTATGGAAACGTGTTCTCTGGAGTGATGAATCATGCTTCACTATCTGGCAGTCTCATGGATGAATCTTGGTTTGTCAGATGCCAGGAGAACACTACCTATCAGAATGCACAGTGCTAGTAAAGTTTGGTGGAAGAGGGAAAATGCTATGGGGCTGTTTTTTTCAGTGAAGGGTAATGTTGATGCTACAGCATACAAAGACATTTTAGACAATTATATCCTTCCAACTTTGTGGCAACAGTTTGGGGAAGACCCTTTCCTGTTCCTGCACGACTGTGCTCCTGTAGTTTGATGAGTTTGCTGTGGAGCGGCCTGCACAGAGCCCTGATCTCAACTCCATTGTACACATTTGGGATGAACTGGAACATTAATTGTGCGCCAGACCTTCTTGTCCAGCATCAGTGTCCGACCTCACAAATCCTCTTTTGACTGAATGGGCACAAATTTCCATAGACACACTCCAAAATCTTGTAGAAAGCCTTCCCAGAGGAGTGGAGGCTGTCATAGAAGCAAAGGAGGCCAACACGATATTAATCTCTATGGTTTTGGAATGGGATATCCAACAAGCTTATATGGGTGTGATGTATAGGTGTCCACATACTTTTGAAAAAAACTTAGCATAGAGCTCAAGCTTTAGTTATTTTACCTTTTAGTTAGGTAAAATTCCCAGTTGCCAAGTTGTTGTTGGCTAACTTTGGCTTGAGACCAGTGTGTTAGCGTGCGCTCAGCACATTAGCTAGGGGCTAGTGTGTTAGTTAGGATTAGTACTTTAGCTCATGATTAGTGTGTTAGCTCAGGGCTGGAATGTTAGCTCATGACTGCAGTGGCATGTCCACCCATCTGTGCACACATCATCCATCTCTGTCAGTCAGTAAAACTAGAATTTAACAGTTTAAACATGAGATGTTGTGGTCATTAAGCACCACATTACAACAACACATTTCATTTTGTTTGATTTGATTTTGTTACATTAACTTGTTTTTTTTAGTGGTTCTGTGTTGCTAACAAGCTGAATGGATCCAGCAATACTCCACTGTGCCATTCTAAAGCTTCAGACATTCTAATTTTACCTTTCATTTTATGTTTATAATGTTAAATGCTCTAATAAACTTAAATATATATGGAAACATTACATTATTAACATTACATGCCCTTTCAAAACAGATGTACAGTACATAACCAATTCCAAAGTTAGAACAGTAGGTAAAATGTAAAACATAAATAAATAGATGAATAAAAATAAACAGAAAGCAGTGATTTATAAATTTACCTTAATCTGTTTCTGCTGCTATAAGTCAATACAAAATTGCTCTACAACGATTCTCCTTACTGCAGAGATGGTACTGACCTCCTGCTATCTGAACTGTGCTGAATCACATCACTATATCACCAATGTTGTTAATACACACTGTGCAATATATCATAACCGCTACTGTAATGACACTTTCACTGTGCACTTTGGACTGTAAATACGGCTGTTACGACTCCTAGTTATGTTTATACTAATTATGCTGTAACTACATCATACCACTTATTGCAATACCTGCTGTCATGTCAAATACAACAAATCTGTCTTATATGTAAATATGCAAATAAATATACTTCTATTTCTACTCTCTCATACTTTACTCAAATCTATATCTATTTTTTTTATTTCAACCTAATTTATATCTATTTTTATTTCTATTTTTATTTCTGCTTAATATATGTAAGTTTATGTTCAATTATATATCTTGCTACTGTAACACTGCAGTTTCCCTGCAGGATCAATAAAGAAAAATCTATCTTTAAGAAGAAAAGGACCATACTGATTGTTCCCAGTGTAAATGTCAAAAGTCAGCGTTTGTCATGATAAAAGGTATTAGTGGGTAACTCGCATTACTTAACACTGAACACATTTTGGAGGAACACATGCTGCCTTCTAAACAATGTCTTTTTCAGAGACTTCAATGCTTATTTCAGCATGACAGCACCAAGCCACTTTCTGCATTTTTACAACAGCATGACAGCGTAATCAGAGAGTGAGGGTGGTAGACTAGCCAGCCTGTCTCCCATTGAAAAAATGTGACACATTATTAAGCTCAAAATTTGACAATAGAGGCCCCATACAGCTGCACAGCTGAGGACTTGTATAACAGAAGAATGTCTGTCAGTCCAATTTTAACAGTGTGTTCTGTACATTTCAACCCTGACTGCTTTTACAACTAGCCAAAATACAGGACATCCAATTGGAAAGAAGGTCATTTACACACTATATAGCCAAAAGAATGTGAACATCTGACCATCACACCTACAGTCAGGTCCATAAGTATTTGGAAAGTGACACAATTTTTGTAATTTTGCCTCTGTACATCACAACATTGGATTTGAAATGAAGCAGTCAAAATGTGAGAAGTGTGAAGTGTAGACTATCAGCTTTAATTCAACAAAAAATTTTGCATTAACCGTTTAGGAATTACAGCCATTTTTACATAGTCTTTCTATTTTAGACAGTTGACTGATTAGTGTGATGGCCATGTGTGGCCTGCTCCCTTGTTATTTCATGACAAATTAAGGAGATAAAAGGTCTAGAATTGATTCCAAGTGTTGAATATGCATTAGGTAGCTGTTCATGGGAAATCTCAATAACTGATCCAAAGAGGTGTTGATGAAAGTGAAGGGGGCCATCTTTAGGCTGAAAAAGAAACAAAACAAACCCATCAGAGAGACAGCAGAAACCTTAGAAGTGGCCAAATCAACAATGTGGTGGATTTTTAAAAAGAAGGAATGCACTGGCAACCTCAACAACACCAAAACACCTGGAAAACCATTTCAAATCCATTGTAAAGGGGTACAGAGTCCAAATATTCATGGACCTGACTGTATATGAGCTTGTTGGACATCCTATTCCAAACCAAGGGCATTAATATGGAGATGGCCCTCCTTTGCAGCTATATAAGCCTGCACTCTTCTGAAAAGGCTTTCCTTAAGATTTTGGACTGTCAGAAGAGCAGTGTGTTAGATAAAAACGCCTGGCTTGCCATTAGTGTTCCAATTCATTCCGAAGCTGTTCAGAAGCGTTATGGTGAGGGCTCTGTGCAGCCCACTAAAGTTCAGTCACACCAAACTCATCAAACCATGTCAAACCTTCAACCTTGCTTTGTGCACAGGGGCATAGTCATGCTGGAACAGGAAAAATCCTTCCCAAACTGTTGCCACAAAGTTTGAAGTATACAATTGTCTAAAATGCCTTTGCATGCTGTAGCATTCGCATTACCCTTCACTGAAATAAGACAGATAGTAAGGCATCCTTCATCACTCCAAAGATGACATTTCCTGCTCTACAGTCCAGTGGCAGTGTGCCTTACACCACTCCAGCCAACACTTGGAATTGCACATAGTGATCTTAGACTGGTGTGAAGCTGCTCAGCCATCAAACCCATTTTGCGAAGCTCCTGACACACAGGTCTTGTGCTGATGTTGCTTCTAGATGCAGTTTGGAGCTCTGCAACAGAGAATAGAAAAATTTAACTTGCTACGCACTTCAGCACTCTGTGAGTTTACGTGGTCTGCCGCTTCATGGCTGAGACGCTGTTGCTCCTAGACCCTTTCATTTCATGTAATAGCACTAACAGTTGACAGGGGCAGATCTAGTAGGGCAGAAATTTGATGAACTGACCTATGTAATTTGTGGCGTCCTATAACAGTGCCACGTTATAAAGTCACTGAGCTCTTCAGTATGACCCATTCTACTGCCAGTCTATGGAGAATGCATGGTTATGTGCTTCATTTTATACACCTGTTGAGAAAATGGTCACATAAAATGGAACTACAACTGTTCTTGAGACATAAAATGACACAAAAGTTATAAGTGGACCTCAGGAGAAAAAATAAATGCACAAAAATACAGAATCTTTCCACTTTAAATGTTTAATTTCCTTCATTTGGTTTTCAGTGCTAATAACAAGCTAGACCAAAAAAAAGGTCTCCGTCAAGAGGCAGTCTAAGCCATCAGTTGCCTTGTGGGCTGTCCTTAAAAACATAACCTGAGCTCACCCAGTGAAAGGGCAGATTATGCACACGCCTAAGCACATTCCCTGAAATGTGAGCATTCTCGAGGGTTTCCGTGAGAAGACAACAGAAGCAAATCAAGTGTGAGAGGAAAGTGAAAGGATTACAGGAGGAGCTCTGAATGGAGTGATGCTCAGGAGATTATACGAGACAGCAGCTAAAAAAAAACCTGGAACTGAGAGCTTGTACAGAAGGCCTGTGTAAATACACCGGCTCTGCTCTGAGACGTCTGCACAATGACAGTGCTATACCGAACTTTCCTGCTCTTCTCAGGTTAGTCTTTTAAGATTTTATAACCTCTGTTTTTCCTAAGTGGCACAGACTAGACAGCTGGTGGTAACTGTGGCAAATATGAGAGAGTTGTTGAAATAGTTTTATACTGATGCCTAAGCAACAATTGAAAGAAAATGTTTAATGCTGTTTGTATTGGAAAACCTTCAGATGAGTGTAATGAGCTGGTTTTTAAAAAATATATTCTTGTGCAATTTGTAGGCTACATTCCACCTGCCAGGTTCTGTTAAGTGACATCTTAAATGGTTTGGTTACCTGCCAGGTAACAGTCATCAGTAATGAAAATGAGTTACTACCTACTGGCCAGAATGTTGGCCATCTAAAGCTAATATTTATTCAGGCCTGTGATAAAGAGTGCAGCTTTACTGCCTCTCTGTTGGCTGCACTTTTAATCTTGGGACAGTAAAGATCAAGTGCCGATGGATTAGGACTAAGTAAACACTCTTACTCTGTGGAGTTGGTTCAGTGTGCATCATATATGTACAGTTGCTTTCTAAGTGAAGGTAAGTTAACATATCCTCTACTGAGAGTACACTTCTACACATTTTAGTGCACAATTACAGTTTATTTGCTAAATTTTAACATATTGTAAAGAAAAATAAAGCATAAATAGATGGCTCCTTAAAAGACATTTTATTTATGTTTACTTTTTTCCAATATGTGAAACAAATGTATAGAAAGAGTGCACTAAATTCTGCAGGAAAATGCCATTTTTCAGTTTGTTCTCTGTAGAGGATGTGTTAACTTATTTTTATTTACAAAATCAACAAAACATGTAATTTTACAAAACTTTTACATCTGCATTTCAGAGAAATGAAAAGCTATTCATGATGGTGTTAGTTCTCTTGGCATGTAAATCCACTTGATCTTATATTTAGAAAATACTGAATAGTGAAAGGTTTTGCCTAAAACAGTAGCTTACAGTTCGAAGTTAAAATATCAGCCAAATCATACACAAGTCAAAAATATATTAGAAGTAAACATAAACATCAAACAGTGCACTCTTAAAATTAAAAGTGCACAAAGGGTTTTTATGGAGCAATCCCATAGGAAATAACCACTGTTGGTTCCCTAAAGAACCTTTAAATAGATGGTTCCTTAAAAGACATTTTTTTAAATAAAATGTGTGAGTGTGATGAATGGTTTTTAAAGTTTAAAGAACCTCCACATGATGTAAGGATTCTGTTTTGTCCTATAACCAAACATCCTAATCAAGAACCATTTAGGAACCTTTATTTGTAAGAGTGCGTGCAGGTAGATGCCATTATTTGAGTACATTTGCAGTCTCTCATTTCACTGAGCGATGCTTGGCAGTGCCTCCTCATGGACGTAGAGCTGATTTCACCTAGACAATGTTGTTTCTGTTCTAGTCACTATGGCCTCGCTGGTGCCCCAGAGGCCCATACGGAATAAGAGAGGGCTGCTGGAGCTAGCTGGAGTCATCAAATGCAGCACGGGGAGGTCAGCCTTGGCCTATATGATGTACGGCTGTTACTGTGGCCTCGGAGGGCAAGGCTGGCCCAGAGACAGGGCAGACTGGTAAGGCCTTAGCAAGTAGCTGTGACATATTTTTATAATTATAATGCAGTTGTAGTGCCTTAATGAGAACCATGATGTTAGGAACCTTCTGTGACAATGTCAAATATATGACGCCAGTTCCTAAACTTACCGTTTACGACTGAGACAACTGAAACTCAGTCTGCGGCCGGGCCTCCGCCATCTAAATGTGTCTCCACCCAGCACTCACCACAAACAAAATGGCACTTTCTTTGTCCCTTGGCTTCCTAATCACAGCATTGCAATACACTAAACCATTAACTCACAAAGTATCTTTTAGCCTTAGTTTAGGACGAAGGGATTCATTTTCACTCCTCCTCACAGATGTACAGTGCCAAACGGAAGCAACTTCATAATGGCAGATGACAGACTGCACATGTGAGCTGAATGATAAGTTTGTTTTTCCTTTGTTTGCAAACATGTGGCATGGTCTAGAATGAAAACTAACTGAGTGTCCAAGTCACAGCATATTTTGGACAAGACAGTCCCTTGGCCTTGGCTCATTTATCAGTCTGTCTGCAGAATATCTTCTTTGTACTGTCAACCAGTCCTCCTGAGATAATAGTCATAAGCACAAAAGAATGATCTCAGGGTGGGAAAATGTTTTATCCCCAAACATTTGTTTTTTTTCTGCAGGTTTGTTGCAGATATAACCCCATTTCCAAAAAAGTTGGGACGCTGTGAAAAACGTAAATAAAAACAAAATGCAATGATCTGCAAATCATTTAAACCCTATATTTCATTGAAAATGCTTCAAAGACAACATATCAAATGTTGAAACTGAGAAATTTTATTGAACAATGCTTGGCAGTGCCTCCTCATGGACGTATATTTTGAAAAATATATATTTTGAAAAATATATGCCCATTTTGAATTTGATGCCAACAATACATTCCAAAAAAGTTGGGACGGGGGCAACAAAAGGCTGGTAAAGTTGTGCTTAAAAAACACTTGGTGGTTAATTGGCAACAGGTCAATAACATGATTGGGTATAAAATGAGCATCCCATAGAGGCTGAGTCTTTCAGAAGTAAAGATGAGGAGGGGTTCACCACTCTGTGAAAGACTGCACAATCAAATAGTGCAACAATTCAAGAATAAAGTTTCTCAACATAAAATGGCAAAGAACTTTTGCTTTTCATCATCTACGACACATAATATCATCAAAAGATTCAGAGAATCTGGAGAAATCTCAGTATGTAAGGGATAAGGGATGATCTTTGGGCCTTCAGATGGCACTGCATTAAAAACTGACATGATTCAGTAGTCGAAATCACTGCATGGGCTCAGAAAAATGTCTGAAAAATACTGTCTATGAAAACAGTTTGTCAGTGCATCCACAAATGCTAATTAAAATTCTAAAAGGTGAAGAAGAAACCGTATATAAACAGGATCCAGGAATGCTGCCACCTTCTCTGGGCCTAAGCTTTTTAAAATGGACTGAGATGAAGTGGAAAGGTGTCCTGTGGTCTGACGAATCAGGACACTGTGTCCTCCAGGCTAAAGACCACTCAGCTTGTTATCAGTACATAGTTCAAAAGCCAGCATTCATGTTATAGGGGTGCATTAGTGCACATGGCATGGTTGACTGACACATCTGTGAAGGCACCATTCATGCTGAACGATATATACATATTTTGGCAACATACGCTGCCATACAAACAACTCTTTTTCAGGGAAGGCCTTGCTTGTTTTAGCAAGACAATGCCAAACCACATTCTGCGTGTATTACAACAGCATGGCTCTGTATTAAAAGAGTTCAGGCACTAAACTGGCCTGCCTGCAGTCCAGACCTGCCATCCACTGAAAACATTTGGCACATTATAAAATGAAAAATAAGACAAAGGAGACCCCGAACTGTCGAGCAGCTGAAATCCTATGTTAAGCAAAAATGGGAAAACATTTCACTTTCAAAACTACAGCAGTTGGTCTCCTCAGTTCCCAAACGCATACAGAGTGTTGTTAAAAGAAGAGGTGATGAAACACAGTCGTAAACCTGCCCCTGTCCCAACTTTTTTGGAATGTGTTGTTGGCATCAAATTCAAAATGGGCACATGTTTTTCAAAAAACAGTGCAATTTCTCAGTTTCAACATTTGATGTGTTGTCTTTGTACTATTTTCAATTAAATATAGGGTTTAAATGATTTGCACATCATTGAATTTTGTTTTTATTTAAATTTTGCACACCGTCCCAACTTTTTTGGAAATGGGGTTGTATATATAACAACTATTGTGTTATTGTTATTATTGTATGACTGCATACTTTACAGTTCATAATAAGAGTAGTGCTATTCATTCCCTGAAAATGAAATGGTTTTAATGTTTCATAACCTTTTTTGCATCAACATTAAATACTGTCAGGTCTATAAGAAAGCCCAAATAGATCAAATCTTTGTGTTTTACAAGGCTTTATGAAGAATTTTGAAGAATGATGTATGCAGTTGATTGCTTATGGCTACAAACATCCAACAGGGAGAGCTGTAGCTGGGTTTACTCATTGTTAAAAATTACATAGGTGAAACACACACTTTAGTTTCACAGCACAGAATTCAATTAAACTAAAACCACTCCAAAATAATATCTTGGATTACAGGAAAAACCCTTTTTTAATGTAATTCTGTGATTAAAGCCCACTGTGACTAGATGATAGGAGACTATGCTGCTCCTTCAGCACAAACCAGCTCACCTTTGCCACATACTGATCAGAGCCCCACCGTACATGGGCTCTATGAAGTGCACCTTTACTTTAATCAATAGCTCTGAATGTCTACTCTTGGGTAGAGCCCTGGGTCTCACCTCTGAAGACTGCATTTGCTGTTAAAATGGATAAACCCACATGAAGACCAGAAAGTTGTCTATGGTGAACAGCAAGTCATTTTGAAGCTGAGAAAAGATGGAAAATCTATCAGAGCCACTGCGCAAGCGTTGGCCCTGGCCAATTCAACGATTTGGAATGTCCTGAAAAAGAAAGACACCACTAACAACCAGAAACATGTTCTAATACAGAGTTTTTTGGATTGATGAGACCAAGATTAACCTCTACCAAAGTGATGTAAAGGCAAAATGTGGAGAAAGAAAGGATCTGCTTGTGATCCAAAACAACAAACTCATCAGTCAAGCATGGTGGAGGTAGTGTTATGACTAGTATGGTTGCTCCTGGAATAGGTTCACTCATCTTTATTGATGATGCAACTCATGAGGGTAGCTGCAGAATGAATTCAGAGGTCTACAGAAACATTCTGTGAAATGCATCCAATCTAATCAATAGGAACTTGATCATGCAGCAAGACAATGACCCAAAACACTGCCAACACAACAATAGCAGGCGAAATCAAACTACTTTTGCTCACGTAAAGGTCGTTAGCTAAAAACTGAGTAGTCTGCCACCAAAGGTGCCAATTTCTGAGTTGTTTAACAAATATAGAGGTAAATATCAGGAAATAAAAGCTGAAATTCTGATCTTTCATCTCATATTCATCTTTTAAATCAAACCCAAATGTATTCAGTGTATAGCAAAAAATAGAAGAATTTGCCTTACCAGTCCAATACTTTCGTAACTGTCTGGTGTCTAGCCTGTATAGTTTCAACCTACATTATATTAAGATAATATTTATTGATCCTTAAACAGGCAGGAGTGGAAATTGAGTTGTAAAAAATAATTTAATGTTACTACTTATCTCATTTGCACCTAAGGAAAACATTTCCAAAAAAAAATGTTGTGTATTTATAATTTTGAGTTGTATCCCCCAGGATAAGTTTCCCTATTAAGGTGTAGAAAGAGTCAGAATGGTAAACATATTAATGTTTTATTAGATGAAGAGAAGTAATACGTTCTTGTTTTTACAGTTCATTTACATCAAATATACTAGTTTTTAAATTGATTGTATCAATTCTATCAAAGTGTGTTCCTACCACAATCTTCGGTTTTGGATTTTGATCCAACTCCTCCTCCTCCTCTTCCTCCTCGGAAGAACTATCGTCACTTCACTGACTCTATCTCTCGAGCACAGAATGGCACCAACAACATTGCCGCACATGTAACGTCCAAGACAACAACATTTTTTTACAATAAAAGTCTCTCTTCTGAGAAGCCTGTGTGCGTGAGCCAGTAGTGGGGTTCTACATAGTTCTGGTTAGCCATCCCAGTGACCTCACAGAGTTCCAGCAGAGCCCTGGGGTGCATTTCTTGGCCACGAGTGCCCCCAGTCCTCTGTCAGGGCTGAATCCCCTTCCTCAAGGTGCCACAGAGAAAAGACTGAGTGCTGTATCGTCCTGCCCAGTGTGACAGAGTTCCTCTCGCGCTGCTCATGTGTGCTGGAGCCCTGGCCATTGTGGCAATCTGCATGTGCTGTCTCAGTTCTGCCTCCAGCTCGCCCATCCACTGTTCAGAAAGCAGCAGCTTGGACAACCGTGACACCAGCCCAAAGGGTCATGGTCAAAGCTGCCAGGCTGTCATGCTGCCCCGCCGCCCCTCCTGCAAGTCCTAATGGCCAACTGCCATGCAGGCATCATCATTGGCTGCTGCCTAGATTCCGCTTCTTTTGCCATCCTCCTGTCTGACACTGATAAGCATCATCTCAACGCTTCTTCTGCCATCTTTGCTGCCCATACCTGCTGTATTGCTCCTTCCTCCGCAGTCCTCGGCTAGCTCGGTCCTCTGCTCTGTCTGTCTTTGAGTTTGTGGAAGTGCTGTTTCTCTCCAGGCCGCTGAGGGAGGGATGTTATCCCAGTTCTGACACCACTGTGGCACTGGCAGAAGAAGATGCAAGAAACATACCATTTTAAGAAGGTTCTTATATTTGAATAGCAGCAGCAAGGGAGAATCGCCGCTCAGCACTGCTGAAACGAAGCAGAGTGGGACAGGTCACCAATAGCCATAAACTTCCGCTTAACGGTAGTCAAGCAACCCAGAACAACTAAACCTCAGCCCAATATAGAATGGCACCAACTATACTGTCACACATGTACAGTCCACAACAACATTTATTTACAATAACAGTCTCTCCTAACAAGAAGCAACACCTCCTGTGAGCCTGTGTGTGGTCGCTCTGCATGGCCATGTCTCCTGCACGGCCAGTAGCGAGACGCTAAAATATGGTTATACTGTCATAATGTACACACCTGTGCATGATAATATGTGTTTTTTGAGTGAATATTAACATGTCTTCCTGTTTGAAACTAAATTTTAAATACTACACATTGACCAACTTTCTACCCCTGATCTGGCACTGTATCTCAGGGGATGCATGCTTTCAAAGGTTGCTGAATAACACCATAAGCACTGTTAAACTATTTTTTCTTCATCAGCATAGTAAGACAACAGTCATAATTAGTTTAATGAATTTAAGTCATTGTTTCATTGAAATTAACTATGACTACTATATAATTACTTACCACCTGGTCAGTATGTCCTGCACCACTGGCGGCCATGATGATTTCTTAGAAGGCTGACTGAATGATTTTTATGTTAACAACACACTTTAGTCAAGTCAAGTCAAGTCAAATTTATTTATATAGCGCATTTTACAACAGTTGTTGTTACAAAGCAGCTTTACAGAGAATCCGGGTCCACGCCCCCAGTGAGCAAGCCTTGGGGAAAGTTGCAAGGAAAAACTCCCTCAACAGGAGGAAGAAACCTCGAGAGGAACCAGACTCAAAAGGGGAACCCATCCTCCTCTGATCGACACCGGATAACAGCACAGACACAAAACAGTATAAGTGGATACAGTTTTACAGTTCTGTACAGTGTTGGGTATGGAGTTAAGAGTCCTTTGTACAGTGAGGACCACACAAGGATCCACATAGCACAAGGCTCTACGATGCACGCGAGCAGCCCATCCAATCATGGCAGACGAAACGACAGCACCACACAGTACGGAGCGCCGGCCGCATCAGATCCCCCTGGGACGGGACTGAGTGGTGTTCACATCAGACCCTCTTTGGACGGGCAGCCACTCGGCTCAGGGAAAGAGAGGAGGGGGGGGGGGATAAGGGGTACAGATAGTTAGTTCTGTTATGGGTGACCGAACAGAACAGAGAGTTGACAGAGTGCAGCAGTAGGCCTGGCTATGGCAGCATAACTAAGAGCGAGAGCCAGAAGGTAACAAGGACATGAGGGCTCCCTGAGAAGTCAGCGCCCCTCTGCTCCATCGTCAACAAAGTTGAGTAAATGCATAAGAGCAGTGGGACGACAGAGCAGTGGGATGACAGCACCAACATTCCCAGATTACCATAAGACTCTCTGTCCATGAACCACCAGATCTGCACCTTTTTCTAATAGGAAAACTAATTAACCAAAGGCTTGACTAAACAGGTAAGTTTTTAGCCTAGACTTAAAGATGGAGGCTGTGTCTGAGTCCCGAACACTGACTGGTAGGTTATTCCAAAGCTGGGGGGCAGTGTATGACTTTAGCTATTTAGCAAGTTGAGCACTATTCTAAGTTATGCATTTACTATCCATGCAGGTGCCGCAACCAGTCAGATTCACCTCTACAAAGTTTCTAAAGTAAAACTCTATTGGAAGGTGTTCTGTATAGCCGTGTCATGCTGATATTATTAGTAGGGTTATTTCTTTTGTCCTATCCCACCATAAATAATTGAATTAAACTGCAGCCTCTTTCCTCCTGGAATTGTAGGTGTTGCCACAAGCACGACTGCTGCTACGGGGATGCAGAATTCGCAGGCTGCGAAACAAAGACCCACAAATATAAGTGGACTTGTGAGGGCAAGGAGGCTGACTGTGGTATGTGTTATAGTTGAAACTTGAAAACTAAAGGCCTTCAGCTACATAGCACAAGAGCTTTGATATGTGATGACTGAATCCAGATAAACGCTCTTGAAAAAATTCAAGAGAACCAGCTAAAGTAAACATTAACTCAGCAACAACAAAATCCCTGACTGCCCTGAATCTCCTCATTAGTAATTCCTGTTCAGGACGTAATAGGAAAACAGTACGTCTATTATAATAAATGGGTGGCTGCTGTGGGACTGCGGCCAAGGAGGGTAGTTTTGCACCCATATCCCATGGTATTTTAAGCCCAGTAATTACAGAACACCTAAATACATGGTGAAAGCTACACCCATTAGGATGTTTACTGTTCACGCTTTAGAAAGCAGCAGAAAAATGCCAAATATAAGTGTGTTTTCCATAGAGAACTTATTTTCACTCAGAAAATCAACAAAACATGTCATATGGCTAGGAGTGCTCTAACCATTGCATATGTCTATTTTTGCAAGTTCACACTGACTATAAGGCTTAAATGCCAGAGTGTCATTGTTTGTGTAAATATAACATGAGTCACAAGTCAATTTCTTGAATATACAGAATATTTCTAATGAAGACTGTGCTGATGTGTTTGGATGTGGCTTCTCTCCAGATTCCCTTGAAGACAAATGTGAAAAAATCCTCTGCCGATGTGACAGAGAAGCAGCCATGTGCCTAAGAAAGGCTCCTTTCAACAAGAAATATGCCCTTTGGCCAGACTTTATGTGCGGATGTGTACATCCCACCTGCAATATATACTGATTTGTATGTTCATTCTATGTACTTTTTCAGACAGATCCATTGCATAGTGTATTAGTATAGACAAACCATAATCATTAGTTAATATAATGTTTTTATACATAAATGACGATTATTTGGAAATTCTTTTTGAAATAAAAAACCTGAGGCAACTACATGCATTCATGTTTTTGTTTTCTTCAGTGACCATTTGAGGCAATAAAAAGCAACCTAAAATAAAACCTGGACAATAGTTTCAGCAGTAGTGATGAACCTTTTGCAATCTGATGTGCTGTTGTTTCCACTTACATACCTTCAGTACCAGACAGTGAATAAATAGCCAGCTTGAGTCAGTATGTGCATACCCCGGCAGTCTTCCAAGATCATGTGCATCAGCCAGGAGAACCGAATAGCAGTTGAAAGCAAAACTGATCTGCAGTAATATGTATCGTATTAATATGAAATATTAATGAGATCAACTCTGCTGACTTTCATTATTTTTTGGGAAACACACTATTTTTATGGTCCACAACGTTTCCTTTACTCTTAATATAACACTTAATGTAACCCCAGCTTTAACAAGGAGTCTAATCCCAATCCTATCCCTAAACCTGATTAAATCTTAGCCCTAATCTCCTAAACAATTTTAAGAGTCATCAGATCAGCTTTATCAAATAGATTGTTAGATCTATCTGAGGAACTATAGAGAACCATCCAAATAAAGTGGGATCACCTGTATTTTAGACCTAACTGAATAAACTCACATCCGTTCAGTGTAAGTGTAGGTTATGAAGGGCAAAGGGACAAAGTTTCTTGTGTTCCAAGGATGTCTATCAGCTAGAAGTCGGATCAGATGGCTTAAGTTCACAATAGTATCCCTTAGGAACAGTCGTCTCACTGTTGAATGCCCCCCCCCCTCTCCATTTAAATCCGCAAGAGAAACATTCCCATGAAAAAGTGGAAAAAAAGCTGAAGATCTTACAGGAAACAGGCAGTTAAAACGTTATCCCGCATGTCTAAGTAAACTATCCTAGTCTTTTAATAGTAAATTGATACAGCTGACAGAGAGGCTGTAATGACCAGCCAGCATAATCCAGGTTTCACAATGTGGTTGTATTTCACATTTTAAAGACTTCATGTAAATCAAGGCTTTTACAAAAAACCTTAGACCTCACTAAGCCACATTAGATAAAGATTTTATTCAACACAGTTTTTCCCCTTACCCCAGATGTAGTCGATGGGCCAAGACACGTTTGGTGTCCAGATTTTGCTTCTTTAGTTTTGCAAAGGAGCTACACAACAAATGCAACGTAAGGATTTGGATGAGATAGACGTCTATAATGTGCTATCTACATGAGTTTCATAGCTCCACTGCAAAACTACAAAAGCAAACTCCAAATATCAAAGATGTCTTGGTCTCTCTACTGTATTTGGTGTAAGGTGAAATATGTGTAAATCAGATTTTTACTTTATTGCTCTGGTGTAGAGGAGAATATTCATAGTGAGACAGCCACCAACCTGCTATAAAACCCAGTAATATTGTTGACTTTGGTAATATTGGTGATTTTGATTTTCTAAAATACCTGTCAGGAATCAGTGCAACTGGCAGTGCTTTAAAAAATGCTACAAGACTGTGTGCTCTAAATAATAGACTATTACACTTATCACTTCCACTGTTAACAGTGAGCTGTTCTGATTTGGGTGTTAAGCATCATCAGAGTTCTTCAGCAGTGCTATTGGAGTCCACCTTTCAAATCCCATGAAAAACGTGTTTAGGAATCTAAGAGTGTCTGTGCCTTCTTTATGCTTTGGAAATAACCCATGTCTTAAAGGGGAATTCCACCAATTTTTCAAAATTTCTGAATAATTCAGATGGAAACATTCAGGCAGTCACATTCAGAGTCGTTTGATGTGAAATGGTTCACTTAAGAGAAACTCATCGACACTGATTTCTTTACAGTGGTGGTGATGGGAACCAGGGCTCATGATGTCTACAACACAAATATAGCTATTTTATTTACTATCCAAAACCACTAGTGAATCTACATGTCTTCTAAGGTTTTATAAGTAATGTTATTGATGGTAAAATAGTCATAAATCTGAAAAAATACGTTTTATTGGGGACTATTTTGCCTTACAACACCTTGCATGCACCCCTTCAAATGCATTTTAAGTCAAAACTTTAGGCAGTACGTCTCTAACCATTTCATGTAATAACTGTGAGGGAGCTTTCAGAGATGGACGTGATTCCTATCACCACCACTGCCGACAATTCTGGCTTGGTAAGTTTCTCTATAACTAAGCATCTCACAACAAACCACTCTAAATGACTTTGCTCACATCTCAACCATTTAATTATGTAGAATTTTTTGAAAAATCAGTGGAGTTTCCCTTTAATAGGCTGTCTTCTCTATGCCTTGGAGGCACATGGCTACAGGGCAGCTGTATTAGCCGTTCATTCACATTCTGTTAGCTCTGTCTCTCTGGCTCTAACACCACCCGGGATGAATGGACGGCTACGGGAGTGTGAATGTTACCATAGCTGGCGTGGTGAGCTGCTAGCTCTAAACATAATGAATGCGTTAAGATGCGAGGAATGCGGGGAATGCCTTGTGGAGCTGATGTTCCTTGTAAGAATGAGCGCCCCCTTGTGACCTTCTAATACACTACATGAAGACCCTAGCTTCTGTTGTGCTGGTCACTCTGACAGTTAGCAGATGATGACTATTGCACATAACTGCAATAAGCATCATCCACTTCTCAGTTTCTCTACAATTAAATGCAGTTTTAAACGGGATCCATGGAATGTGGTGCCTATTTGTAGGTTAGATGGTGAGAGGAACTCAAAGCTGCCAGCAGAGGGAGCCCTCTACTCACTTTTGTGGTAACAAAGAACAGGCAACACGTAACTGACACAGTAGCACACGTTTTCCATATTTTAATTTTATTTGACAGGCAGTTGGAACTTTATATCAAAATATACAGCATATTAACAATAGTATTGAAAAATATGGCATTATTAACTGATTTATGGTATCATTTGGCGAGGTAAATGGTAAATAATGCAGGCCTATGAGCTTTGTACACTCTTTAAAAAGATGGTTCCTCAAGGGTTCTGTAGCAAAGACAATAGTTCTATATAGAACCATGAACACTCGAAGAACATTTGCATGCTTAATGGCTCTTTGAAAGGTGAAATGGCTATTCCGATTGATGAATGTTGTCTATGGTTCTATATAGAACCTTTTTGAAAATGGTTCTATATAGCACCAAAGGTGTTCTGCTATTGTTACAAGCTTGACATCATAACAATAGCAGGAACCTTTTTGTGCTATATAGAACCATATACAACACATTCTCCATCTGAAGAACCATTTCACCGTGCAAAAAACCAATGCATGTGCTTCTTTGAGTGTTCATGGTTCTCTATAGAGCCATTGCATTTCCTTAAGAACCCTGGAAGAACCATATTTGTGTGCCATAGAATGTCCTGTGATATTCCAGCTGTTTAATAGGTCTACTCAGAGGAATACAGTGATGTTTCAGGAATTTAAACCAAAGGTTAAACACATCAGATGTGTTGCAATGACACAGAGAAGAGCAATTCTTAGCCATAGTGTCCCCCTCACAGTTCAGAAGTGCATTTTTCCTCATTTTGCCCTCATCTTGACCTCTTAGGTTTGGTCAGTCAGTGTACAGAAATGGAGAATTGGATAACTAGTAACATTTATTTAGTTACATGTACTTGAACAGGCTAAACTTCATTGGATTTGTGCCTTTTGAATCATAATATTACTTCTGCTGAAGTACATTTTTGAGGAACATAATTTACGTTTTCTTAGTTACATTTTAACCCATAACTTTTTGTCTTTAATTCCTTTTTGGGTTTAATTCCTGTTACATGGGTGACAGCATCTGTTGTTACTTTACAATTGGTTGCATATCTCAGTTTCGAGGTTTATCATCTTATTTTTGGACAAAAAAGATCTCCAAAAGAGGAAAGTAGCACCTGACAAACTTCAATTCCTTTGCTAGTAGATACCAAATGTAGTTGGAGTTCCATATCCATTAGACCTGGAGCTCTACTTCTTTGTCTACTTATTTGTTAAAGGTATTTTTTCATTATTTCAAATAAGTTACAATACAGTTACTTGAGTGTGGGTTGAAGCCAGTCCACCTCTTACAGAACCACTAAAGAGCAACCAGGAACATCTGCCTTGAAACATCTTCCACAGCTATAAAAATAACCTGATTATACATTAAAGCTCTAGATGTTTTAATTGAATTATGATATGGTTGTGTTTGCTGGGCGACTGCCTAGTCGAGTGGTGCTTGCTGATGAAAGTCATATTCACTTGGATAGTAGTGCCCTTTGTATCCCATTTTTTCTCCTTACTCGCATGGGACTCTCATGTGAAGTGCCTTGCAGTGTGTTGTCAGGCAGGGTGAAGCCGTCTGAGACGAGCAAGAGGGAGAGAGAGAGAGAGAGAGAGAGAGAGAGAGAGAGAGAGGGAGAGGAGAGTCTGTTGGGACGCCCAAGCAGGCGCTGGAACATGGGTATCTGGGCCAAGCTCCACAAACACTCACTCAATTGTGCCCTGCCATCACCAGATAATGAGCGGAGAAGTTATGGAAGTCATATGCCTCTGCGGTCACATGGCTGGGGGACAGAAGGGGCTCTTAATTTCACGTCTGCATGTTTGCTTGTTTACTTCCCCTGAGAGCATCTTGAAATTGTATGTGACTGGCAGGAGACAATGGCGTTTCTTATTGGACCTAATTTTACTCCTTGTGTATGAAATTACCTCACTGCATCTCTAACAGGCATGGGGCTCAGAGCTGGATTCTGAGGAATATTGCAGCCAAAGCTCCAATACATCCACATTCTAATCATCTTAATAAAGAAATATACTTATGTGTGCCATAAGCCTGTTGGGAAAGAAGCTCTCCAGTGACTTTGTGCAATAATCTTTTAAAGCAAATGTGACACAATAACTGGTGGGAGTTACAAGAAGTTACTCAAGTAGGTTCTTGCAAGTGCATGTTTAATGGAACCTTATCAAAAGAAAAAGTGGAACAGCAAAACCCACAAAGGACATCATGTCAGAAATGATTAAACAAAGGATTACATGGTTACTTTACACACATACCAATATAAC